TAACATAGCAACCCTAAACCCTTGAGCCGAGACCCTAAACCCTAAACCCTAAACCCTAAACCCTAAACCCTAAACCCTAAACCCTAAACCCTAAACCCTAAACCCTAAACCCCTAAACCCTAAACCCTAAACCCTAAACCCCTAAACCCTAAACCCTAAACCCAAGGTCAAGGTTAGGTCAGCCCATAAGCCCCCTAATGGACTATTTACTTTGTCCTGATTTATAAGAAAACCTTGTCCTGCTCGTGTCCTGCATCTGTCAGACTAGAGAAAAAGTGTCGCCAACCGTCGAACCATGGTGGTGAAGGTTGGCAACGACACGTCCTTTCGACCTGCAAGAGACATGCTTCCATGGTGAGAGACTGAACCCCTAATGATGCTTTCTATTGTAAGCCCTTGATCTGATCAAACTCCCTTCTTGCTGTATGACCACTGATCGTTTTTGCCACAGTTCCGTTGCGGAAGCGAACTTTAGTGAAGCTACCCAACGAGCAGGAGCACAAGCGTTTCCTCTGTTTGCTTTGGACCACCTTCAAGCGATGGAATGGGAAGCATCAGAGCCCTTTGAGGACCCGGACGGTGATTTGTTGCTTCCAGATTGCTGGCAACATGAGCAAGAGATAGAATGGAAAAGACCAGGAGCAATGAACCTTACAGAACCGCCAAAGTTTCAAAAGATATTCCTTCCAGACACAGAGGATTCATCTGAACCTCCTCCTCCTGTTGTTGTCAAAGCACAGAAGAAATTCCAGCAGTTCAGACCCTTGGAATTCTTTACGAAAGCCTCTTCAAATCCTCTGCGGCATGACGACTGGCTCCTATATCATTTAGTCTGTGCCATCAACACATCCAGAGAATTTCTCATGACATCGAAACAAGACATCTGGGATGGAATATATCCACAAAATCCTCAAGCTGTCCCAATCTACAACCCTAGCGGGAAGTATGCTGTTCGACTTCATGTGTTGGGCCAATGGCGACAAGTTTTCATCGATGACCGTCTTCCGTGCAAGGGCGAGGAATGCATCCTCCCTCGGGTCAAGAACAAAGCTGAGATCTGGCCCATGCTTCTAACTAAAGCTCTTCTCAAGGCTCTGACGATAACCCAGACGAAGGCAGACTCTGGAGACGAAGAGGTAGGAAAAAAGATGTTCCCTAACATTCTGGAGAGAGAAGTGTACTCGTTCTTTGTCACTTGCTTGACTGGAATGCACCCTGAGTTCTTGGAAACAAGCGAATCTTCATTCAAGCAAACTTTGCTCAACCGGATGACTGCGGGGAAGAGTTACTCAGTTGGGTGGGGGAATCACCCGCAGGAAAGGATCAAGTACATCTCAAGCTTTGCGACCGGCGAGGGAGATGAAAAGAGCGGAGGAGAAGGGAGGCACTGGGATGTTAATGAAGACTCTTCATTCATTATTCATGTCAACTGGACTGGTGAGCTTTCGCATGAGGTTGATATCCATGCCGCAAGGCTTTCTTGGCTCCTCTCCACTCCAGCAAAAGAAATTTCACAAGAAGGAGAAAACCAAGAGGAAACTGAAGAACAACGAGAAAAGGGGGAGCAAGAGGTTGTCAAAGATGAGGATGCAAAGATCAGCCTCAAGACTGAAGTGATGAAGCCAAACGTTGATATGAAACATTCTTGCTCATGGAAGTCATTTCTTGCCCACTTCACCCATGTCATCCTCTTCCATAAGGATAGTGACTACGAATTTTCATCCATGGTTTTTTTAGGGCAAGAAGTAGCAGCTGAAAACTCTGAGACTCCAGTGGATCAGGAGGAGCATGCTATACCTGTCTTCGACGGCCTCTCTCATGTTGCGCTTTTCGTGGACAACACAAAAGAAGACAGCGATTATGTATTATTCTCTATCTCGTCTTCTTGTCAAGCGAGTATGATCACAATCTCGGAGATCATGTTTGAGACCAAGAATAATGAGATGGCAGAGCCTTCGGAGCAGAACTTTATTCCGTCCATTACAATTCTTCCCAGGACGCTGGTCGAGACAGATGTTAATAGAAGTTTTCTTCTTCGCGTTCGCAAAGGAAAGAGTATTTTTATCATCGATTTTCCGAGCAGCTTTCGAACCGTTCTTCGCGTATCCAGTGACAGTTTGTTGGAGCTGAAAAATTTCGAAGGTGTCTTTGACAAGGTTGGGATCAAGTCTCTTTCCTCCTCTGGCACAGTAGAGGGTCTCGAGCCGAGGAAGGACACGATCTGGTTTCGTCAGAAGCTGCTTCCTCAAGGCGATTGTGTCTGCTCGCTGATTATCAAAACCTCCAACCCGCACATTCTCAGCTCTGTGCAGCTCGTCCTGGTTGACTGCTCCACCCGCGAAATTTTCTTCAGCACGAAAACCAAATTGACTCGGTCAAGCTTCAAGCATCCGCCGAAGGCTACATCTTGATCGCAAGGTCTTACTTTGGTGCCTCACCGCTGGCAGTAGAGGGAGAAGAGGCGACCCCTCTAACTTGCAGTTGGAGTCTTGCTGTCCTAAGCTCTTGCGAGGTCACTATGGAGGGCCTGGCAAGCGACCAAGTGCTTGACGCCAACGGTTACTTCGTACCCAACTACAGCAACGAGCTCTTCCGCTACCAGATCGAGCCCAAGGACGAGACTGGACTAGTCTACTTCTCCGTCTTCCTTCGCTCCTTCTCTCCGGCTGAGCTGAGGTTGTCGCTCATCGCAACACGGAAAGATCAGGTCTGGCACACGCACAGCAGGGACGAGGCCTCCAACGAGGAGGTTAAGACTATAGAGAAGGACGGGAAGCTTGTGACTACCCCCCTCCTCGAAGCTCAGGATCTCAATTGCTGTGAGATTTTTGAGGCCTGCATTCCCCCAGCAGAGGACATAGTCTATCTCCTGATCGCTCATCTTGTTGCCCGCCGTCCACTAGTAATGATGGCACCGAAGACCAAGGCTGAGGGCTCAATAGAATCAGCGGAGGAAGAAGCAGCAGTGGACGAGAAAAATGAGGAAGCTGCAGGTGAAAGGGCTTTAGACGAAAGCGCACAAGAGGAGGGGAAGGAACGAGTGGAGAAAGGGGAGGCAGAATACGTGACGAATGACATCGAAGAGCCAGGGCAAGAACCTTTCTGGTCCCTCCGCATCCTCACTTCTATCAGTCCTGACGGTTTGATCTCTGAAAACACAACCAAGGAAGAGAAAATCGATGCTTTCACCGCCGAGTGCCGGACAAACCAGAACCAAGAAGCTTTCGTGCTTGCCATGAGGAAGCAGAACAAGCTGCCAAGCTCAGACGATGCTGCTGCTCCTGCAGAGCCTCAAGGAACTGAGGCGGAGGAAGAAGGAGAGACCACGTCCTGGCCCCCGCAAAAAGAGGAAGAGCAGTCGTGGGCAGACTATCTCAAAGAGTATCTTGTTGGCTGTCCTCCTGCTGAACCCCTTGTGAAACGCGATCTGGAAGCCGCCGAGGGCTATCCCAGTCACGTTCAGCTTTCTGAAGACTGGAAGGCTCAAGAAGAAATGGAAGAGAGAGAGGCGACAGAGCTCGACGCCGTCTGGGAGGCTCACCGGCAAAGCCGCGAGGAAAACAAGCAGGCGCGTGAGAGCAGCTTGAATCTGCTCATGCAAGATATGTCTTCCGCTACCGTTGAGAGCTGCAACAAGTGGTTCTCAAAAGAGGAAGGATCGTTCCTGGAATCACGCTCTAAGCTGCTTGATGTCATCGCCAAGGGTGGAGACTTCCTTAAATCCTTGACGGAGGCTCTTGCAACGATTGAGGTCGTGCTTATTGACGTGGAGGATGAAAACTCAGAGTCGCCGTCTCAGCAAGTGAACTATGAGGATGAGGAGATAGTTGGTGAATTGCTCTTAGCAGTGAAAGAGGCAGATGAAGGCAAATGGAATGCAAACCTGGAAAGGCTTGCAGGACGGGATCCTCCAATGATTGAGATGCAGGACGTTTCATTACACAACATCCTCTGCTACCACAGGCAGAAGGTGACAGCTATGCTCCAGACAGAGCACAAGAGGATAAGCCAACAGAATGCAGCTGAGTCTGACAGGTTGAAGGAAGCAGCAGCAGCTGCAGCAGCAGCAGCTGCTGCAGAGGAGTCAGAGGAGGCTTGAAGCAGCTGCAACACAGCTACACCCACAGAGAAGTTCAGTGAAGTAGAATCTATTGAGTTTATTCTCGGAAAGTAAAGCATCATGCCCGGAGCTTAATCTCTCTCACTTCTCCTGCCCTCCCAGAATTTCCGCCAAGCATCTAACACGAGATGTAAGCGAAAAATTCAGAAAATATCATTGTGCATATTTACTCGTCAAGACGGCGATCGAAGTCTTGCTCAAACCCCTACAGCAAAATATTGTCATGAAATTAATTTGCTTGCACAAAGCAGGATCCATTCTTGAATTTTCATCAATTTTCGTTTTGATCCAAATGAAAAAGTGTAGTGTGTAATTTTAAACGCTTATCACGAACATAGCGTCAACGGCCGAGACCAGACGAGAGGAGAGGAGAGGAGAGGAGAGGAGAGGAGAGGAGAGGAGAGGAGACAAGATAAAACCTTACACGACAATACGAGACAACAAGTTTCACTGAGACCAACCTTGATTGACTCTCTGAGATCTTGAAGTTGACCTTTGAGCTTCATCAGCTTATCTTCCAACCCCTTCATCGCCAGTTGTTAATACGAAGAGAGAAAGCAAGATTCAAACTGCCAACCTTGCTCGCAGAAGGGTCAAATGTATCGAGCTGATTGAGTGAAAATCAAAAACTGGATCATACAAACTGGATCATAATCACAACGCACAGGAGTAGTAGCAGCAGGGGAGCTGTTTTCTTTGTCTAGGACTTCCTTTTCTTGATTTTCTTGGTTTGCTTGTGAACTTTCTTCATCCTTCACTGGTGCCTCCTCCTGCTTCGGAGGATTGGTTGGCGCGGCAGCTACAACCACGCAGAGTAAATGTAAACAAACAAAGCTCTATCACGTACAAGATACACAAACTTCTAGATTCAATTTACTACATATCTTATCGAACTTACTAGCTTTGATGCTTAACACTAGTTCTGCCCATGATCTTCTCATCTCAAGATCTCAATATTCAGCTTATTTCTAATTCACGAATCAGGTCCTTGTAACTCTAAGGATTGTACCTTTGGTCTCATCAGACCATTACAACTCTAATTTTGCTTCTGTTTCTTGCGCTGACCGGGTCAAATTCTTCTATTTTGGTCGGATAATTGTTAGTGGTACACTACTATCCTCACCATCCCAGGATCATGGTCTCTTACTGAGTTGGGAGATGAGTATTCCTTTGATTTCATTGCTGTTCAGTTTCATCGCTCTTCTTTCTTTCTTTTCACAGTCTCTTAGCTTCACTCCTACAGTCCATAAGGCCTCTTACCTTCTTGTTGTCCTTTCTTCTTCTTCGCCATGCTAGCCTTGTTTTTTTGAAATCGTTAGTGGATGACTACGGCAGAGTGCAGGACCGGCCCGGCCCGGAAAGCTATCTGGCCGCCCTGGCCTCACACGAGTTATTAGTACAGGCCTGTAGGGGCCTGACCGGGTTGCCGAGGACGCGATCGGGGGCCTGAAAAGAGATTTTTTGGCTGGACTCTCGGTACTCCAGATGCTCGATGCTTTAGGACATGGCACCGAAGAGTTCAATACTACTTCTCTAAGTTCAAATTGAGCCCTCAACTTTTTTAAGGGCCCAATGAGGAGATTTGAATTCTTTCAATGATATTTCGAGTCATGATATTGCGAAGTGTGCTGGGCCATCAATGGAGGCTTCGCTCCCATATAATGCCCCAGATGACTGTCACACACCCCACCCCCACCCCTTACCGCCTCATAGCAACCCTAGAAGGATTTTTCCATTTTCAGAACGATGGTGATATTCTAAAGCTGGCGGGATCACGTGCAGAGATTGGGAGCTGTGAATGAGGCAAAGCAAAAGGGCTATATTTTCCTTGTCTATATAAGGCAAGCTTCAGAGAAGGAAATGAAATGATCCTGCATCGTCATATGAGACTCGCCAACCTTGAATTTCATAGGCCCCTGACAATTTACGTTCACCCTACCCATCGTTGGCCTCCATGACCCCACCCCACACTCTTACTAGCAGAATCATCGTCAGTTGTCACCCGGTTGGCAACTAAAATAGTTTGTACCGATAAATATAATGTTAGTCCCGAGGTGGGTCAAATTTCATCAAAAATGCTTTTAACTGTCTATGAGAGCAGACCCCTTTATAAATCACAATCCATCAACAATCCTACGATGGTGGATATAAACATTGTACAGCAAACGATCCCACTTGTTACAAAATTATAAAACATACTACACCTCGGCTCTAAAAGGATTATATGAAATGAACATGGTAGCCGACATCCTACCAGTCCCCTCAGAATAGACCCCACCCTGGTAAACCGGCAATGGACCCCTACCTTGCTCTAGCTTATCCAGTGGTTGGTAGGGCAAATTCACACAACTACCCCACCCTAGTCATGAGAAAGTGTCGGGCTGTCTGAAATGTGCGAGACGCGCTTCAATGTGTGGGAGGAGCGACTACTCGCGCGTCTGATATCTTGTATCATGCACACTTCTTGATCCTCCGTCTTACCGGCGCTCATGATTCCTTGATTCAATCATTGAAAATCTTCAAGAACTGTCCGGCTCACCTCTAACTAACAAACTTCGTGGTACCTGCGACTTTGCCCCAAGAAACTCGACCCAGACTGAAACAAGAGCAAGATGTGTTACATATTTGTGTCGATCATAAGATAACGACGAAAATTGTGTCAAATTCGTTTTGAATATGCCTTTGGTGAATTGATGAACGGACGGGGAGGGTTCTACTTCAATGATTGTGCAACGTATCTACATTCCACTCCAGGACGAAATTAGAATGATAATTTCTGCCTTAAACCTAGAAACGGGAATCCCGGATAAGAAATCAAGATGTAGATCATCTTCCTTGACCGATGGGATCCTCATTGATTCACAACTTTCCAAATCGTCATGGAGCAGACTACCAATTTACAAGGTTACACAAGGTCACTCACCGTAAATTCATTTCGTTTTTAACAAGATGGACATGGCAGGCGCTCAAAGCAAGATTGGGCATAAACATCCCGAAAACCAGAAATGTACGACGAGTTCAATGAAGCCAGAGGAGTCGGGAATCCAAGTAGAGAGACCCTTGAATGCATTGCACAAGGCCGGCCAACAACAATGGTTTTACCAATTATGTAGAAAACTGTACATCGGACGAAAATTATTTTCAGTAAGAAACTCTTTTAACCGATCTTGTTTTTATAGGTTTTTCATCCAGGTGAAGGAATTGGGCTTGCTTCGGAACGAAAATGTTGTTGCAGTTCTAAGCGTTGTTCTGCCGGTCGAGAATCAGGTTTGGCTGTACAAGATATCTCACTATGCTGCAGCATGAGCACATCGTACCTCCCGATGCAATCAAAGCTTTGGGGTGACTTCGATGTGCTGTGTTTATTCCATAGTCTCAATCTCTTTTTATCGCTCAGGTTTCGTCACCTCGAGATCAACGTGCGCGAGGGCGATCCGTTGACTTTGCTGCAGCTTGTCAACGGTATCAAATTCATCAAGTATGCTTGTTCTGCTTGTCACACGAATGTTACTTGGCTTTACACATTCCTCAGCTCGATCATTCAGATGCGAGGGGGCAGCATCTATGTGCATTGTCGCCTAGGCCGTGTGCGATGTGTCATGCTATGCGTGGTGGGATGATTCCAACTGACAGTGCGGTTCCTCTACCTGACCTGAAACATCTCAAGGGGTATCTCATGGTGTCCAAAGGTCTGACTTTACAAGAAGCTGAACAGCATGTGAAGCAACTTGTTCCTGTGAGTCTTCCTGTCATATCTGAATTCCAATCATGTCCATCCTACAGGCATCGAAGATACGCAGGAAGCATCGAGAGGTTCTTGCCGAACTTGAACGACTTGATAGAAATAAGCAACACTCGCGTTTCTTGTAGAATGGGTCATTGATTTTCAATACCTGGCCTGTTCTGTTGCGTTTTGATTCTCTTCAAATTAGTTGAAACTTGCCATTTTTGAAAGGATAGCCAGAAAGATAGCCTTTCCACTTCTTGTAATTAGCTCTACATTATCTACACCTTAAAATCCCTAAGCGGCTGTGATGTTGTGTTTTACCATGCCGTATACTCCCATGGACGCACGGGAATGCGAGGGATGTGATCAGCTCTGATGGTTTGATCTTCCGTCTCCCACAACTACAAAACTCTCAACGAAGTTTGCTAGCAGCTCAACGCACCTTGCGGTCGTAACCTAATGCCTTGGCCGCCTTCAGCTCAGAGCAGTTGAGCTCTGCACATCCTCTCATGACACTCACTCTTGTCTTACATGCACAACAATTCACCGTCCCAGCGCTTCTCTCTGGTCTGCACTCCCGTTCCGGTCTTCCAGTTCTTCTCGTCCCAACCCAAAGTCTGCATGGCAAATGGGATCGCGAGTATCCATCACACTGAGTGCACCTTCCATTGCCTTCGCGTGTCCTCGTCCATGTCGTTCCAACAACGCTTCTTTCGGATCCACAGATCTGGCCAATCGTGCAGCCTGATCGAGAATTTTCGGTTCTTGAATATTGTGTCAACAGAATGGGAGGAACGTAAAATGATGATAACGCATACAGCGATAGCGACGTGTGAGATGGAGGAAATTCTTGGAACCATGGCTGATAGGGGATAATGATACCCTGCAATCAATCAGATGTGATATGGCGCATCATTTTCACATGTACTGAGTTGTTGCTGCATCCACGTTTTGTTGCAGCAATATGTTCCCATCACCCTGCACCCCTCATACTTTGTTCTTCTACCTGGAACAACCTCTCACAGATTCTCATGGTCAACTCAACTCAAATTCCTTCATGCCAGCCCTTCGTCTCCTTCTCTCACTTCCTCCCTCCCCTCCGCGCCATTGCTGCTCCGCTCTCTCATCGTTTTGTACCTATGAGAACTTCCGATTGTCTTGCCCTGCCCGCCTCAGCTTCTTGAGGCGCAGCGGACAAGAAAGCGAGCAATCATTGAATGTGTTCTTGCTATTCAGTTGCTTGCTATGCAGCTGAAGCATATTCTACAAGTGTCGACCACAATGGCAGCAAAATGCCAATCAAACTAAGCGGCAAGGAACTGCGGACAGGCCCGAGGAGAAGACGATAATTCATCAGAACGGTAAAGGTATACATAGAGAGTTGAATGAGCCAAGAAACACTCGCGAGTTCCACAGAGCATGGATGAGGATGGTGACCTGCAAAAGTTATCAAGAGGAAAACTATGAGGAGGCATGTGGAAGAATGATAGTGAGCTGTAGCTGAACGAGGATGGAGGAAGGACGAGTATGGAAGTACCAGCAAATTTCTTGACTGCGTGTAGATGATTGCCCATGCTAGACCTGTTTGATTGTCACCTTCTTCAACCCCTCTTATGCTCGCTCCCTTTCAGTGTTACTCACCGAGCACGGACAAGGGAAGAATCCCTCCGATGTTGAGGTGATGAACTGCAAAGAGGATCTGGGAAGAAATTAGAACCCACCGTTGCTATGGCGGGGGCTTCACCGAGCTCGTGGGGATGGCCCATTGTAGAGGCATCATGGCGGCGAGAGCCGGGAGGAGAAACCTGATGTAGAGTGAGGCAGCGGACAGGCAAGACGCTAACGTATCACCCGCGATAGAGAACCTCCTCGAAGATGGGAGCTGATATGCAGGGCCCAACAGCTCCAATTGCCATGGCCTATTCGGCAGAAGTCAAGACGAGCAGGGAAGACAGAGAAGATAGAAGGACAGAAGGGAAAGGATGATAGAAGGGAAAGGAGGACAGAAGGGAAAGAAGGATAGAACGGAAAGGAGGAGAGGAAAGCAGACGAAGCCAAAGAGAGCATAGGTGATGAAGGAAACGGAATGCAGCAGCAAGGGCAACAAGAGGACGAAAACGAGAGGAAGAGAGGAAGAAGGAGAATACCAGAAGATCCTTGTTCTCAGGATTGACGAGCTTCGAGACGACGCTCTCCTGTTCTATCGTTACTCAAGTCGCCCTGCTCCCATCGCTCAACCTCATCAAAGATGGTCGAAGGAAGGATGAACTGGTTGATGAGATCTGCGATGTTGAACAGAAGAGCAGACACGAAGTAGCTTCCTACCACCCACCTGCAACTTCAGTCAAACAAACTTCCTTGCACTGCAGGTTTCTTGATCTCAGTTTGCTCGTTCTGAAAGCTCTGTCCCTCCTCTCCTAATGGCTCAGCTTTATCCCTCCATTCTCACCAGACCCAGTTGCTGTTTGTTCTCCACCTTGATCACAAGCGTTAGGCATAACGATGAGAGCACAAGACATCAAGACCTCAGCCAAGTCCCTTGAGGAGGAAAGAAGGGCTTGTGCTTCGTGCCGAGGATCCGTATGCCCATGTACACCCACATGAGATGCCCCAGCAGTACCTGCACGCAGTCAGCCTTAGGCATGCCAAGCAACGGCTTGCCTTCCAGGCCCTCATCGTCGGGATAGTGAGCGGGACGTTGTAGACTGAGAGAAGGAGAAGCACTTGTTCGCAAAAGACCGCTCCATAGCTGATCAGGTGTCAGATTCTTTGTTCCTTCCTCGCTGACCTACCCCGATGCAATGTAAGCAAGCAAGAGGTAGGCTGTCGTTCCTCCCAAGATTTTCTTTGCCTCTCTTCGGCGAATGTCAGAGACAGGAACGTCAGGCCTTCCGCCATTCGAACCTTGGGATTCTCCATGGCGGGTTTGAGCTCTGGAGGAGAGGAGGGATCACGCTGACTCCTGCTAGCTTGCGGCAAACGAGGACACCTGACGTCATCACATCATTCTCCTTAATGTCTCTCCATTCCAAGGTGATCCATTTCAAGTCTCACCTGCCACAACCACCAGCCCTGCGATGGAATCGAGCCCGATGCTTTGAAAGGCTCCCTTGCTGTTCGGGATCAACTGCACGGGCTCAAGTCAGCGCGCTTGCTTCCCCTACCAACCCTCCTTCCCCCTCCCCCTACTTCCTTGTACCTGCTCAGGGAAATTCCACGAATTTTTGGAGAGATAGAGCAGATGGAAAGCGTAACTGCCCAGCGATTCAGCTTCACATAAATTAACGACGCATAACAACCAAGCGAGCATGATGGCAAACTGGACTAGAGGATGCAACTTCTTTGTCACCCACAGCGGAACAAACGCCGGAAGCCACTCTGGTCGAGATCCTTCCTCTAGCTCCCTTCCTGCCTGATCCGCCTTGCTCATACCAAACTCTCCCTCTCCGGCAGCGCCACTTGACGTCGTGGTGAGCGGCTTGCTCCTCTGGGCGCCACATCGCAGAAAGTGAGATTGAAGACGGTCAGGATGGTGATCTAACAGCAGAGATGTCAGGGAGGAGGGTGACGGGAGCGAGGAAGCAGAAACTCACGGCCAGGGTGAAGGCTGCGAGCAACTGACGGAGCATGCAGCCCTGAAATCGACGTGGAAGTCGGACAGAGGCCTGTAGGGTGGAGCAGCTGTTGCCTGGAAGGACTAAAGGGAGAGCTGAGAAATGCCTGAAGGGTTGGAAATCAGATCTTGCACATCAAGGAGGAGAAAGAGACGCTCGGGAGAAGGCATCACTCCCACAGCCGATCGTCAGGTTCTTATGACAGCATGTATGCACAGGGGCGTGAGGATCATGTGAACTACAGTCAATGTCGATTGTGAACATTGCCAAGATCCAACGCACGAGACGACAACAGGGGTAGCGGATCTCCAGTGACCTTTATGTTTATCTACCAGGGGACTGAGGGAGACGGAGGAGGAAAGAGGCAGGTGACAGCATGAAAGTGCAGCAACATGTTCTCATCGCCTCATCCTCCACTTCTTCTATCATTTTCACTTCACCTGCGCGAGCGGAGCAGCGCTCGCTGCCACCAGCGCCAAGGCTCGCATCCCTCCTCTCATGCCGCGCTCGCTTTCGTTACGGTCGTTATCACTTATGTCCCACCCTCTTTTTCCCTGTTTTCTACCCACCCTTTTTTCAGGTATCACACCACCCCTACCCCCATCAAGTGCGTCCTTTGATCGGCCTCCCGCATAGTCCCGAGTTTCCCTGCCTCGACTTTTTCCGATTCTCCGACAAACTCGCTCATGTTTTGCCTCCCGTCAGCTTCCCCTCGCCTCCCCTCTCTGCCTATAGCGCAGGCCTGTCCCTCTCTTCGCTGATTATTTCCCCTCCTTCCTGTCCTCTGAAGATCTTCTCTTCCTGGAAATCTTCGCTGATTATTTCCCCTCCTTCATCCTCTCCTATCCTCTGAAGACCTTCTCTTCCTGGAAATTTTTGTGCAAGCAGGTCTCCCACGAGGTCTGGAAAGAGGGGATGATGCTGCATGCAGCTGCTTAACATGAGCATGGATCGCTTGACGTGCATCGCAAGCGACAATGGCCCTGAACCTCTGCACGTCTTTGTCACGATCCTCGTTCTGGGGGGTACCCTGCTGATAGGTGGCAGAGCAAGTGGCTTCTTGCAACCAGAAAGAATTCATGGTCTACAGGTAAGACAGCAGCATGAAACAGCGATGTGTTTGATGCATTCTAGGGCAGTAAAGCTCACGCTCTGTGGTGCCTCTTGTCCGTCTCAGCGAGAGTTCTTCTATTTCCAAGCTTAGCTGAAGAGGTTGCTTGGCGTTTCCTTCCTCTGCTGACTATTTTCATTCAGCTTTTCTGGCGATTTCTGCTTCTTCCGAGTGCATCTGAACACTCTATTTTAAGACATTTCTTTATCCAAGCTTTGGTCTTGGTTGGTTATGTACTTTCCCATCCTCTTTGCGGAATACTGCTTGAGAAGGTGAAGTGATAAGACATCACGTAATGTGTAAGCTTCATTGAAGGCGTTGAAGCAAGGCGGGTATACGGAGACATTTAGTGACAGTCGCTTCTTGTTGCTGACAAGTGAAGCCCTCTGATTGCTCTTCATGCTTGACCGCAAATTATTCAGCGCTTCTCGGGACTTACTGCGCATTTCTGTACTGTTGGACGGGTCAGCATCGGCATGACGGATCATATCATTTATCCCTGAAGGCTATTCTCTCAGGCTGTCTGTGGCCCAGTGTGGTTATGCACTGGCTGTCAGTGTGGGCATGGCTGCTCTTTTTTGGAGGAGAGAGGCAGGTGCTGTGATTGTTGCACTCAATGATTTAATTTCCTTGTACGTAGAAGGCTCAGACGAAGGTGAGACAGGAACGAATGCAACAACTTTCTGGCATGCAGCATTGTACAATGTCAAAAAGGCTGAAATTGTCTCAGTGCTTTCCCTTCTTGATCTCAGCCTGTGAAGGATTAAGAATAATTGATCAGGCACTATCACAAAATACCTGAGCCGCAGCCAAACGGGCGATGGGAACACGGAAAGGCGAGCATGACACGTAGTCCATGCCAGCTCCTGACACAAACTCAATGCTAGACGGCTCTCCACCTGCACAAATGAAAATGAATTCCCAAGCCCTATTAGAGCGGCTAGAACAAACCATGCTCTCCGCAGATCCCGCATTTGAGATCCTTTCTTGTTGCACGGCCGTTTTCAATTGCCGTCTTAATAAGCTGGCCGACACCCTTTCTGTCAAGCACCTATACATAGGTTCAGCTAAATAAAAACTAAACTACCAAGCATTGAGCTTGCCTGGAATGGATCTGACACAAGAATCCCGTTGGCGAGATACGTCGGCAAGAAGCTTCCGACGTCATCACGAGAGAACCCAAACGTCATCTATTGCATAGTCAGCTCAAATTGATGACTTGGATGGCACCACACTTGAGTGAGATCATTGGTTCCGAAGGAGAAGAATTCTGCAACTTTTGCAACCTGAAAGAAGATTTAGAATTCAAAATTTCAGTGTAAGGTGAGATACCTCTCCAGCAAGAAGAGCAGCGCGTGGAATCTCAATCATAGTCCCCACCTTCTATGCATCAGACTGAAAATCTACATAGAAAAGGAAAGCAACCTTGTACTCTACACGAGATCCTCGTTCCGTAAAGACAGTCTCAGCGGTTGATCGAATAAGTTTGGCCTTGTCGGCATGATAAGATGTTCGAAATTATTAGCATCATCTCACCTGGTTCTCAAGCTCTGTTACAGAGCCGACGAGGGGAACCATGATGTCGACGACAGGTTTGATCCCCTTTGCCTTCACGTTGAGTGCTGCCTCAAAGATCGCTCTCGCCTTGAGCACTCGTCAAATGACATACCCGATTAAATTTAAAATTGCCTGCATCTCGGAAATCTCTGGATGGACAATTCCCAAACGGCAACCTCTCAATCCGAGCATAGGATTGGTCTTCACTTCAATTCAGTTCATCACAACAGAAACAAAACAACCAGACACCTCATGCAATTTGTTGATTTTGTCATTGACAGCAGCAACGTCAATTCCTGTTCGTTAATTTGTTAATGGTACATGCAGAAACAAAACGATATACCCAATTCATTCGCCATCATCTGGCAAACATCTTTCATTTCCCCATTTGGCAAAAACTCATGGAGAGGTGGATCAAGCAGCCTGAATCTATTTGAGCATACAAGCTTCTGCGAAACACATTAAAACCTGATTGTGACTGTATGTCCATCCATGGCGGTGAAAATCCCTTCAAAGTCGGCACGCTGTAAACGAGTGACGTAAGGCATTCAGCAAGAACTTGGAAAAATTACTTGGAATGGAAGGAGCTTCATCAAAGCAACTTTTCGCTTCTCGACATTCTCTGCCATGATCATCTGACCCAATGTCATTGAACTTTTAGCTAGCTTGCGTTAAACCTGACGGACTGCCTTCAACCTATCATCTGAAGCAAAGAACATGTGCTCTGTGCGCACGAGACCAATGCCTTCGGCTCCATTTCTTCGAGTGATATTACAAATCAAACATGGGGCACAAAGGAAAATACCTCCTTGCCTCGGCTGCATCTTCAGGGGTATCCGCATTGGTGAAGACCTGAACAGATTGTAAACAAAGTTCTCTGGAAACGAGAAAGAAATGCCTTTAATTTTCTCCTCTCATCCACCCAGCTCATGAAGGTGCCTGTCAAGCAATCAGATACCGGCAATCCGCAAGTCTTTTTGACACACTTAGATCTCCAGAGATCGTCGGTGGAGACAAAGGTTCCTTTCCTTCGATGACTTCTCCAGTGTTGCCATTCAAAGAAATCCAGTCACCCTCCTTGAAAGTTTTTCCTCCCAGAGTAAAGATCTTCTTCTTGTCATCAACCTGCAATCGAATACATCAAAAGGCACCTTGTGATGGTCAATATAATCACCATACCTTCATTTCGAGGCAGCCGCAAACGCACGTCTTGCCCCAGCCTCGGGCAACAACAGCTGCGTGAGAAGTCATACCACCTCTCTGTGTCAGAATGCCTGAACAATTCCGTCATTTTTGTACTGAGGATTGAAGTAGTAGACCCTCAGAAGCGTGCATTCCACCAACGTCCTCAGGTGTAGTATCTGCGCGCACCAAGATTGCTGCTCCGCCCTGAAAAGAACATCACGGATCCATCGGATATCAAATAAATCAAGAAGACCTGTGCCTTGAACGCCTCTGCATCCTCGGGAGAGAACACAACCTGATGAGACACGTCAGAGTTTACATCTTGGGGCAACTGGAGCACCTGGCCAACAGCAGCTCCAGGTGATGCGGGCAGGCCCTTTCCAATGACTCTTGCTTTGTACTTGTTCTGATCTTCGAATTGAGGGTGGAGAAGCTGATCCAGGTGGCCACTTTCAACCATCATAATAGCCTTTGCACTGGTTAAAGGGATGAAAGAAGATTTTGAAGTATCACCTGGTCCTTGGTGATGAGACCCTCCTTGAACATATCAACAGCAATCTTGACAGCTGCTGGTCCAGTACGCTTCCCGTTTCTGCATTGTAGCATAAACAGTTTCTGATCTTGAATCGTAAATTCGATGTCTTGCATGTCCATATAATGGCGTTCGAGTTTGTCGACATTGTCGAGTAGAGATTTATATGCTTGCGGCATCTCGCGTTCCAAAGTGCTAATTGCTGAGGGAGTACGAATTCCAGCAACAACATCCTCTCCTTGAGCATTAATAAGATATTCACCATACAATTTGTTTTCTCCAGTCGAAGGATTTCTACTGAACAGCACTCCAGTGCCAGAGGTCGCTCCTAAGTTGCCAAAAACCATAGACTGGACTGTAACTGCAGTTCCTAACAGTCCATGAATCTGATTGATCTCTCTGTAGGCTTTCGCTCTTTCACTGTCCCATGAATCGAAAACAGCACGGATAGCAAGTTCAAGTTGTTTGTTTGGATCTTCTGGAAACTCTTTTCCACAATTCAGGTATACCTGTTTGTACTTTGCGATCAATTCTTTGAGGTCATCCTCGTTTAGCTCATTGTCAGTGGAAACACCCTTTGATTCCTTTAATTCCTCAAGCTGTTCTTCGAACAGATTGTGATTAATTCCCAAAACAACATCGCCAAACATGTCAAGTAGGCGACGATAACTGTCATAAGCGAATCGCTTGCTGGCACGCTTTGCAAGACCCTCAACGACTTTGTCGTTCAAACCAAGGTTGAGGACGGTGTCCATCATTCCGGGCATAGACACAGCCGCACCAGAGCGGACAGACACGAGGAGCGGTGAGCCCTCATCTCCAAATTTCATGTCCATCTGTTTTTCAATTCGTTTCACACCTGCCATGACGTCTTCCATCAATCCCTTCGGAAGTTGCTTTCCCAAGCCATTGTACTCCTGACAGGTTTCAGTCGTGATGGTGAAACCAGGAGGTACACTCAATCCAATTCTGCTCATTTCTGCAAGGTTGGATCCCTTGCCTCCAAGAAGTGCTTTCATGCTCTTGTCGCCATCAGTTCCTTCTTTGCCGAAGTGGAACACTCGCTGTGCACCACCTCTGAGATGAAGCACTGCTGTTTCCGCAGTGGATCTCTGAGTTTTTTGGTGAAGAAGTGAAGCACTCTTCAATCTAGGCGAAATAGATAAACTCAACATGTTGGTAGCCTCGGCCGCGTGGTTCATCACCACTGCCATTACGGCTAAAACGATCAAATTCTTCATTTTCGACACAGCCTGTCACGATACCTGGAAAACAGCAGTAAGAGCCCGTACGCCCAATAGCGTGATTTTCTGTGTAGGAGGCATGCCTTGGAACATGTGGCAGCAAGATTAGAAAGGAAAGGGTGGGAATTGGGCGGGGGGAGGGAGGGAGTGAAGCAAATGATGACAAAGAATCACAAGGCAGGAAAACCAATCAAACCAGAAGACCTAAGGCTTAATGCAATACATTTGGTTTTGTTCAACATCATTTCTCTTCTGCAAGAATGAGCAAATGACCCAATCTTGAACAGGATTGTCATAGTGGGGGCAACATCAGCGAGAGAGATGTCGGTCAACAGTGAGGTCATCAACAGAGAGGTTATCAACAGTGAGGTTAGATCATCTAGGCACTTCTAGGCTCTAGAGAAAGAGAAGATAAGTAGTGCTCGTATTCAAAGGAACTAAGAGAAGAAAAGAAGCTGAAGATGTCTCTTTACAGCTATGAACATTCCGCACAAGCAAGTTTGAAAACGACAGACGCATCTGCAATGAGTCAAATTTCACAAGTGATAGACAGAGCAAGCTGATGGAACCGTGCGCCAGTACGCTCGAGAGAGGCTGAGAGTATATCGCAGGAGAGAGCAGAGGAGGGAGCAGAGGGAAGGGAGGGAAGGCAGAGCAGGCGACGGATGTGCTTGAGACGAGGATGCGTCGGGTGGATGGGCGAGGAAGGGCTGTAAGAGGGGACACAACACTACAGGGGTAGTGCTTCGAGTAAAGAGGGGTAAGGGTATACAATTACCGGTGCATAGAATATCAGATTCTGGGGTACTTGGACGGTCTTTCGATAGGCATGGAATAAGGGGAAGGGTGTTGAGTGGGTGGGTCTTCAGTAGTTTTCAGGTGCCCCTTTCAAGTATTGGATGACCCCACCCCAATATTCATAACCCTTGCAAACCACCCCACCTGGGATTGAAGGTGTTTGTGAGGAGGAATTCGATGTAATGTGATGGTAGGGTTCATTTACATCGCGTGGACCAGAATTATCCGAAGTATTCAAGATAGCTTAGAATATTTGAAATTTCAGTACAGGAAAATGGAAACTGCTTGTGTGAAACCTATGATTTCTGTTCTTGAGGCGAGAGCAACCTGTACTTTGATCAATGCAACGTTTGCCTCATGAATTGCCTTTTGTAATTCCAAAACAAAAAAGATCATTTCAAAGAATGAAGCATCAATTACAAATCTGTATGTCTTCAGTGGTAATAGACTCCTGCTACCTGCAAAGAGGGGTCGTAGTCAGCTGCTTTCAATCCAATAGTACCCCTACCCACTTGATCTCTGTGAAAAGAAAGGTTCTAACATCCCTACGTGTCCAATAAGTTATATAATTATGTAAAATCTTGTTTTAGATCCGTTTTGTCGAACCGTCTCCTGATCGCATACTTTCGATAAAGTCCCAGGCGCATCTCCTATTACCCCGGCCTCCTTTTAAAACATTACTCGCTGATGTTTAACTTAACTTTGAGTAAAGGCCTCCCAGTTTCAAGTTCAGTGACTGCTGGCCTTCGGCGGCGCCCGGAGTAGTTGGGCCATCCGGGGCCCGGGCAGGGACCTCGAGTCTCAGTCTCTAACCGGCGGTACAAGTGCCCGGTGCCGGTACCACAGTAGATTTGAGTTAAACCAAAAATAGTTTTTAGTGGCCTCATATTTGCGAGCTCGCCTCAAGTAGATTATTACTGTAATCGGCCAGGAGTCGCATACATTTTTGATCATTTTTGATATTTTCATTGTAAACTTTGATTTATATGAAATTTAGCGAAATAAGAGAGGAAACATTCAAATATTTTCGAAACATTTCGAGAATGTGTTGAGAAGTGCTCGCAGTGTGAAACGGAGGCTGATGGATGGCAGAAATGGCAAGTGTAAGAGATTGGATGCCACGGCAGGGCTATGAAGGAGTGAGAGTGGTAGCACTGTTATGCAGAAATAGGGTATGGGAAAGCATGCAGTCAAGGTGACGAGATACTTTCAGACAGCTAATCTTGCTTCCTCTTCTTGCTGGTGATCAATATTTATTTTCTTCAGGCGAGCGGGTTTAGAATTCACATCGTTCCGTGTCAGTAATGGTGAAATGGAATGCGATACACGTCACGACTCTCGCTGGTCTTCTATTCAAATTATCCTTTTGCTATGTGCCATTCAAGCCGCCTCTTGTTGAGCATAGAACGCTGACGTCGCAGTTGGTCAGCTCCCGCCGTACCTTCGGTTCTGCAATCAGCGAAGGAAATGCGAGAAGACAACTATGTCTATCAATGATAAGTAGCCCGAGAAACATGGATGACCAAGATTATGAGACTAGCAGGCTGGAGGGCACACACGACAAGGACATAGTGGCTGTCAAGAGACAAACAATCGAATTTTATAACGCCTTCACTTCCAAGAATTTCGACGAGATGCAAAGACTGTGGCTGCAAACTCCTTACATCCAATGCATCCTGCCCGGCCTTCCCTTCCCTGTCAACGGATATGAATCTATTATGGAGATGTGGAAGACTGTTTTTGGCGCCTCGGATGACGCGTTTTCTAGCACAGTGATAAAGCCAAGCTCGATGGTTGTGCAGATACGAGGCAAGATCGCACTGGTTTTCTGTAATGAAGACGTCGTGAATGGACGGTTTTCGAGACAAATGCACGCTACGAATATTTACAGAAAGGTGCTCTTATCTACTCCACTGACTGATTGCTGACGTGGCAATAAGATGGGGAAGGAATGGCTGATGGTGCACCACCACGTGTCGCCTTCAGGTAAGAGCGCTACTTACCCTCCCTCGTCCTTTTCTTCTTGTTCGTTGACTTTCTCACAGCAGACTCCATGCTCCGGTCAGAATGGTCTAAGACTTTGAAGCTTTCGGCTTGCTGACCAGCGGTGCAGGACAGTCAGACAACCTCAAAGTGACTTCGATGAAGCCCCACAGCATCTTACAAAGGTGAACCATCTAATCTTCTTTGAATATTCTGACATGCAAAATTTGTTAGGAAGAACAGCCATTTGCCTCTCTGCATACAGATGAAGAGGAGTTGTATACTTCAGAAGAGTCAGGGTACCTGATACGTGCTCCCTTATCCTTGGTTTCTGACACGATATCTATGAAGTTATGAAACCAGCACGATGATTCGAGATATACCAGCGAAACCAACCGAGTCTTCTTCTCAACAAGTCCCGACAGGATTTCATTGTTTGCATCCGAGTGTGACGGATGGAGCTGTGAGTTGAAGGCTGCCACTTCTGAGCTCGCACTGAACGCTTTTGAGTAGATACTAGCTGTGAAGGAGCTGTCTAACGCCGGTAGATTGAGCAGCAAGGATCGAACCCTTTTATTTCAAGACATTGTTTCACATCATAACAAGGGAATGGAAGCTTCTAGGACAGAGATTGCATATGAGCTCTTGGTTGCTCGCTTTCTGGGGTCGAAGTGAGTTCAGTAATTCTAGAATTATTTTTAACTGACAGCTTGTTTGCTTGCAGGATGGTAGTCTCTACCTACATGAAAGAGCTTCTTGATGATTTTTGCGATCAGTGTAAAGTAAGACCTCTGATTTCATTCTTCATGATCTGACATATGCGTCAAGATAATAGCCAAAGATCTCTCGGAAAATGATTGAATATGATTTTTATTATTTCTTATGTCATAAATTTGGTAACCCCAATTTTATTTTGACAAAATTGCCGAATTTACAAAGAAAACTATCATGCATAGATGAAATAGAAGCAATATCATCTAGAAGAAGAGATATTTACAAGAAGATGGCCCTGCTGCGTATACAGCAGCGCGTGCTGCTGTTGTCAGGACATTGCTCCCTCGCAAGTCTAAAAACTGGAGGTGAACGGCTTGTTGGAGGTAAGGAAAGAGGAGGGAAGCGCCACTTTCTGCATCCCTCATCTTTAGTATCACGTCGGCACCGATTCAGGGGATCACCTTGAAAGCTGTTGTAGCCAAGCACGAGCCGTCGCAGCGGATGCCTGGCGCTTATCAGGGCGTCTGCAAGCTTCCGACACCCTTCCTCCTGCAAGCAATCTCAGCCAGTCGACCGGCAGACCTTGCAAGAGCACAGCCTGACCTCGATGAAGTTGCGGAGCAAGTCCAGCTCCTCCAGAGTTCCCTGCTGCGTATCGGAGTCGAGCATGCGCGATAATCCGCAGACGAGGTGAGTGAAACGTTGGTCTAGAATGCGGCATTGCTGAAGTCTGAGCGTTCGCAGCCTCAAGCCTCCTGACAGAACCTCCTGAAGAGACTGCAAGCAGCTTCACCCTCTCCCCCATCCCTTCGAGCGTCACCTTGCAGTTTGCTTCATCTAGCTCGTTGCCTGACAGGTCGAGATTTCTCAGCTCCTTTAGCTCGGGTAGGATCCTTGCAATATCTTGGAGGCCATTGCCCAGGGCGCACCTGCATGCCGAGGAGTCAAGAGTGCAGTGACAGAGGAGACGTGCGACAACACCAGCTGACGTTGAGGCAGCAGAGAGATTGACACGCCATAAGGCCTTCAGACAATGCAGAGGCTCCCTGAGGGCCGAGCTCGTTGTGTGACATACTGCAATGAGTGAGAGAGGAGGAAAAGAAACGAGTAACTCACTGGAGCACTTCAAGTCTGCTGCTCTTATGGAGAACCTCGACAAGCGAAGCGACTGCCTGACTGGAGAAGTCGTTGGAGCTTAGGTTGAGATCTGCAACGGAAGGTCAGGATGTCAACAGCAACAGGATCGAAGAGACGCTTGAGCGATAGCGCTTTCCAAGAGTCAGCGAGGATCTTCATGTCCATGTCTGTGAGTCCGTTGCCTTCAAGTTGCACTTCCTGCAGCATCTCCAGCGACAAGAAGGTCGTTCGGTCAAGCCCATTTGCTCGTGCTGAGCTAATCGCAACATGATGGACGGGAGTGATAGCTCTGCACGAGTCATCCCTGCAGGTCAGGTTCAGCTGCTTTAGGTTGGTGTTGACGCGAATGAGAGGTTGGCAATCCAGCAGCAGCCCCGGACCGTCTCCTCGCCCGCTGTCTGGCTGCGACACGTCCAACCTCGTCAGACTCGTCAGGTGTCGGGACAAGTTGGCCGCGAGTCTCCCGACGCCTCCTCGCAGTCTGTTCCCGCTGAGATCGAGAGATGTCAGGTTGCAGCAGGTCTGGATTTTGTCGGAGAGCAGGTGAAGATCGCTCGTCTGAAACCCGTTGCCTGCGAGGCTCAGCCCAGTCAGGCATGTTCCGCATGCTGCGATTAAATCGCCTAGACGGGACAGCGAGGCTCGACTAAAGAGCTCGTCCTTTGCGATACCGGAGACGTCAAGCATAATGCTCCTCCTTCCGCCCTCTCTGACGGCCTTTGTGACCGCTGGCGCTGCCATGGCATCTTGAACGATCAGATTGACTTGCATGACCTTTGGGATCTTGTCGACATCGCGAGCTCTGTTCACTCGTCTCTGCGCTGCTGGGCGGCACATCATCTCCGAAAGAGCCTCATGGCGGACGAGCTTCCCTCTTCCTGGCTTGATCTGAACCTCCACCAGCCTGCACCAGGGCAGGCAACTGCGAAGTCGCCGGCACACTCGACAGTCAGGGAAGATCCGATCAGGGATGAACAAGTAAATGTGCTGGAGAACCTCTGCTGGAAGCTCGACCAGAATCATACGGGAGGAAGGAGCCAAAACTAAGGCAGGCGAGGGAGGGGGGGAGGGGATAGCAGGGAGGAGGGAGGCGATAGCAGGGAGGAGGGAGGCGATAGCAGGGAGGGGGGGAGGCGATAGCAGGGAGGAGGGAGGCGATAGGAGGAGGGAGGGAGTAGGCGAGGGAGGAGGGAGGGGATAGCAGGGAGGAGGGAGCGATAGCAGAGAGGAGAGAGGGGATAGCAGGGAGGAGGGAGGGGATAGCAGGGAGGAGGGAGGGGATAGCAGGGAGGAGGGAGGGAATAGCAGGGAGGAGGGACGGGAGTGTCTCGTTCCTAGAACGACTAGAACGAGTTGCCAAGATAAGAGGGAGCAAGGATCGACCCTGACATATTATTACAATGAGAGCCGACCATGATCCCAGTCCGCCTCAGCTCTCATCGCCGCCACCGTACCGACGGTCGCCCGGCCGCGCGGGCCCGGGCCCGATCGGACACTGCCGACGGCCGCATCACCGCACTGATCCGATGATCCGCACTGATGGTACCGGGTACTGATACCGTACGGCGTACATGTCACCGGCTGGTACTGACGGAGTGCAAGTTTGTCAGTTAGACTTGTCCGACTCGGATCACCGTGGCAGTCTGCCAGCCTCCGCAGTACGGTCACGGTACTCATGCCATGATGGGGCAAACGGTGACGGTGACCGTACACTCGGATCGGACTCAGGGCAGGGACTCAGTCGGAAGTCACAAAGTTTTACTCATTGAACTTCGGATGCCGGCGAGTTTACGGAGGCTATGGTTTTGTTGAGTTAAGTCGGCGCTATCTGACTGGCTGGCATGACTTAATGATCTCAGTTACTTCGCTCCCTTCTTTTACTCTTTTCCTCTGCTTCATAAATACTCTTATCCCAGAAGTCAATCACCTACCTGCACCCTACTTCGCTACTGTATTACTTTGGCATAGTACAAGTCTAACGTTGAAACTTGTACTCCGTCAAGTACCTCACGATCATGTGCCAGTGACAGGGGCATCAGTCGCACACCATTGCAATGGAGAGTTCACCAAGAGATTCTTTATTTACAACTTTATGATGCTTTTCTTGATCGGAGGACGCGAGTTGAGGGGCTCGGGATTTTTCTCTTTCGTTTGCTTGCTGTGCTAGGAGCTTCTGCAGCATCTTCAGACTCGTTCTCCTCATTCACCTCAGCTGGATCTTCAGCTGACTGCATCTTCTTCTTGTTTCCAGGCGTCTTTGGTGTCTGAGGCTTTTGGACTTTCGCTTCAATTCTTTCCGACTTGAGAGGGTCTGCTGAGTTCTTCCTGGGGGTTTGCTTATTCGAATTGCTGATTTCGAAGGATGCTGCACTGACTTTAGTTTTCTTGTTGGAGCCCATAAGATTCACATCGCTTTTCTCATTCTTCTCATCGCTTTCGTCCTTAGAGACTGACTTGTTCGACTTTTTCTTGGAGTCAGGAGCTTTTGTTTCAATCTTGGCCCCTGCATCTGTCTTGCCCGGTGTTTCTGCAGCCTGCTTCTTTTTCTTTTTGCTTGACATTTGCTTATCTGCCTCATTCTCCTTTTCCTTCGACTCGTTGGCATTCTCATTCAAGTCCGGCACAAACGAAACCCCCAGGTCCAGGCACAGGCTCTTGTACTCCTCCAGCAAGTCATACAGCTTTACTCTCGCATAGTGCCAGGTCTGCGGATCGACCGTGACCGAGAAAATCTTCTGGGCAAGAGACTTGGCAACTTGCTGGGCGAAGTCAGGGCGCTTGAAGTGACCGTTGACTGACTGCTTGGGTAGAGGCTCGATGTACGTGTGTCGGAACATGCGGTTGACGTGCCGAAGGGGCTTTGTGGAGATGTCGTCGTCGCTGTTTCCTTCCTCTACGCTCGATCTCAACCATTTTGTGTTGGCAAGCTCCAAGAAGATTCTGCGATAGATCCTGTCAAACACACTCTTGTCGCACTGTGACCTCATCATGTTGAAGTATGGCTCCATGATCCGAAGCCACGAGTCTGCTGACATGCCATCGTCTACCACGTCTGTCACCTCATCGAGGAAGATGTCGATCATGTGGAGCTGAAGCCCGAGAGACATGAACTTCTCTGATCTCAGACAAAGAGGGCCTTCCTCTATGATGGTGTTGATGCGCCCGACAGCCTCCTCTTCCCATCCCTGCTTAGCCAAGTACCGGAAGGTCTCAAGCTGGAAACAACGGATAAGATTGTAAAATTTGTCCAGTCGAAGTCTGTCAATTCCTGCCCATTCTCTTTGCATCGTCTTGTAGAAGGCCAAGATAAACCTTTCAGATTGTTCTGTGTTAGGGAAATCGTGAATAAGCGCTGCCAGTTTCTTTGCCAGTTCCCTGAGTATACGTCAGGAGACAGGAGGAAAAAGCAGAGAAACAACTCACTGTTGTATTGGTACTTTATCAGACATCCAGTAGCAGTAAAATAGCGCTTTCCATACTTTCAGATGCTCACTCTCGTCGAGCTTATCTTGTTTAGCGATCCAGTGTGAAAAAACCATGACAGCCTTGTCTCGTACTTTCTTATCTGGATGAGAGAACTTCTTTCCCATGGCGCTTTCAGGCAGCTCATGAGCCGATTGCTCTGCTTCAACAACTGCCTTCTTGTCCTCCTCCTCCAGCTCCCTTCTTTCCCGCTCTTCCTTCGCCTTGAGCTTCCTTCCATACTTGCCCATTTTCGCACGTGCCGACTAACCCTTCCGGGTCCGCCTCTGTCACAGTGACGTGATCGGACAGCGCCGGCCCCGACTAGCCAGGGGCCCGGGGAGTCCGATCGGGGTGGCCGGCCCCGCCGGGCCGGCGGCGCCAGCGGCCGCGGGTCACTCACTGAAGACCGTGACTCAGAGGCCGGGTCCGCAAGAAGGCAGTGGCTCGGATGACTCTGTATCCCCCACGGGCTTCGTTTGCCTCCACTTGCTAAGCCACCGTTCTCTAAAAGAGTCTGCTCACACCGTACGGCCCGGTATAGGGCCCCGCCCCGGGCCGCCGCCGCCGCTCCGGCGGGCGGGCCCGCTGAAGGGCCTAGTGACTACTGACGGAATACAAGTTTGTTAGACTTGTACTAGTCCAAAGTCACGCAGATATCACAGCATCCAGACATGAGAGGACCTTAGCAAGACGGCTAGGAAAGCCCCCTCTTCATCGCACACGCTACATTGCCGCCTCGCAAAACACGTAAGTCGTCTTGGTTTACCGTGGAGAGTTTTTGTTAACTCGGCGCTATCTGACCGTACTGGCACGGCTGGCATACGTTCTATCAACTACCGGCACCGTACCGTTGAAACGAGGCGGCGTGCCACTGGGCCACGTGACTGGGCGGGGAGCCTCACTGCGGCAGCGGCACTGCCCAGCGGATACTGTGAGTACTAGCCCCCCGGCCCCCCTCGGCATCATCGGCGTGATCGGACGCTCTGACTCAGCCTAGTAGACTTAACTTTGAGTAAAGTTTCAAGTTCAAGTGTTGGCAGCGCCGCCCGGCCGCTGGGCCCTCAGCAGATGGCAGCGGCTCGTCTTAAGTTAGGCAAGTTACGCCAACACGACTCAGGCCGAGCCGTCGGAAGCCCGGCACACAGGGCCGTGCTCAGTGACTGCGGCGGAAGTTTCGGCGGCCGAGGTTGCCGAAGTGTCGTTGAAGTTCCGGGGCCGTGCCAGTAACAGTATGATTTAAGGCCGTATGATGATCACAGTCTCAGGCTGATGACGGCTAACATGTCAGACTTGAGTCGTTTCAAGTTCGATCAGCTCTACACTACATCTCTCCGTCTCGTTCGCCTCCATCGTCGCCGACTTCATCAAGCAACTCGCCTATAAGGTCTCGGCCCTTTTCTGCCGCATCGTCGAACTGCCCAGGAACAATGCTGCTCTCCCCTTGACCGCTTGGAGCTGCACAGAAGATCGTCAGTGTTTCAGGTCCAACATGCTTGCTGTCTACCGTCACCGCCTTGAGGAGTCTTCCTACATGTCTCGTTAGATCATACAGCACGCAGCCTCCGTGGCATCAACCTCTGAGCCTTCCGCAGTCTGTTTGCTCTGTCGAAGCTCCTAAGCGCGTACTATTGTGCCTCTTTCAGTACCAACACGCCAGCAACAAGTCAGACTTCATCACCTCATACGCGTCGAAAGAAGGTCCCTCGTCTGCAATACTTCTCAGCTGTACTTCATTCCCAATCCTTTCGACTACCTTGAACGGTCGTAGTGCCAACGGCGCCTCGTCCTACCCCAGCTATGTACCTGCAGTCAAAGCAGCTGAGGTTGTTAAAGGCTCTAATCTTGTCTTACCCTGGAGGAGGCTGCAGCGAGTTGTAGATGTACTCCGTTCTCTCGATCCCTGCCGCAAAGATGAGAAAGTTGAGAGAGCCAGCAAGGCAAGCAAGCACCAAGCTTCCTCAACCGCGCGATCTCAGGATGCATGGGCCAGCAGGTACCGGGGTAACACTGACTCTAAAGTCATCAACGAGTCCAGGGCTGGTCTGCAGCCTTCACCTCACATCTTGGACATGTGCAGAGACCAACACAATTGTTGAAACACTTGCAACGACATCGCCCGACACCTGACGGCAGTTGAGCAGGGAGAGCCTTGCTCCGCACACCCTCACAGTGAATGAAACCAGGGTCTCCGTAGAATGGTCCCTTGTGCGCCGCCCGCTCATGAGCTTTTCTGCGCCAGTTCACTTACATGACGACAAGGTCGGGGTTGGAGGACCTGTCATACATCTTCATGTCCTCCGCTGATCCTCGAGGGAGATTCTTCATGAAAGTTCCACTACACGAATTTCACGCAAGGATGACTCGACATCGATGTCAAACCTGCTCGAGATGAATCCCCCCGGAACTACTTGAGTGCCGGGAGAATCAATGCCTCGTATGCTTCTCAATTTGGGTTTGGCAGTTGCTTGTGCTATGTCAGAATCGGAGAGAGCAAACGAATGGCGTAAGATACCATCTTGATCATCCTGCTCCATATCCTTGTTGGGATCAGGGCCAACACTTGTTGCGTACTGGTCAGCATCTTGGAGGCCAGCAGCGCTGCCGATCTTGACGCCTAGAGGGTGTACAGCAAGTCATCGACCTCCAGCAAGTGCTTCCAGGACCAACCGCTATCTGTTGAGGAGATGAATGCATTTTCAGGCACTTCCCTTGTGCAAGCAATCAGCACGAGGACAAAAAAAATCTCAGAGTCTTATTACCACTGCGTTTTTCCGGTGACAGAGTTGTAGAAGTAGTCTCTGAAGGCAACGTATCAAGCATGAATGAGATTCACATGAGGAGCGCTTCACTTCACCTTCCACTCTCCTGATCTGTAAATCGTTTCCACCTTGCCAGAAAAAGCATCAGATTCATTCGGGTAGATGTCAGTCTTTACCCCTCTGGCAGTTTCTCCTCCTTGTCAAACCTCCTAGGCACTACCTAGTGGAAGGCGTGTCAATGTTTCTCTTCACCCCGCCCGTCTCACCTTCGCTCTAATGCATAATAGACGTTCCACTCCCTCAATCTTCTTGCCATCGAGCTCCTTGCAGATCCTCTCAGCTTCGCTGATGCCCTCGATCCCAACCAGACAAGCTCCAGTCGCCACACCCTTCTTGTCTCTATACATGAAGATCTGATCGCACACAGTCACAAATCATTGCTTCTGACACCATTTTGATTCTGCACCTGTAACTTGCCTGTCTTGCTGTCTTTCTTCACCGACTTCTTCCCTACAAACGCTGCTACCCACTCCTCGTTCGCATACGCTGGAAGTCCCGTCAAATAGATGGTGTTGGTGTGGATCGATCCTCCTGGTTTGCCTCCGTTCCCGCCTCTCAGCCTCATCTCAGCCATGCTCCGACTGGTGCGCATGTGATCCAGCATGACCCCCATGGTCTGCATGGGGTTTAGCCTTTGAGCTCTGCTGCCTTGCCACGAGTGCTGCGGCTGAGCGGAGTTTCTGTCCACCTCAATGTGCGCGAACAGATGGGAAGGCAGAAGAAGCAAGAGGACGAGGCAGAGCTTGAGACTCGAGCTCATGGTCTTGATGCTCATCCTCTGCGAATGACGACAATTCATCTTGACACCCTCATGTGTTGACCTCTTCGAGCCCCGCATTCTGCCTCTCTGCTCGCATTCAAAATGAAAGGTCTATCTACCATACCCTAAGCTTTTCTCGAAGAACCTGCTGCTCTGCTTTCCTCTGTCCTTGGTTTCTCTCCTTGTACTCCACACCCTCCTCCCTTCCGCTCCTCCTCTCCTCCCTCCCTTGCACACTGACTGAAAAATGTCTCATCCACTGGTCGCATCCTATCCGAGCCCCCCTCAGTGCAAGAGCTCTGGAGCCTGAAAACTTGGCTACAGGACGGGGATCAGGCGGACTCGGAGACTACCGTAGTACTTGAAGTGAAAGTTTGAGGCTCCTGCCAGGCAACGGTTGCATGCTGCATGCTAACAGACGGAGGCGGGAAGAGAATCGACTCAGCCTCATGGGAGAGGACTCCGGGACGACTCGGTGAGCTGCCACGGAAGGAGCGGGGAGAGTGAGAGGCAAGGAAAAAGCGAATAGGTGAAAACATGTGTGGATAAGGTAGGAAGAAGAGATGGAGTCAAGCTATTTCGTACAGCCAACTTTTATCTTGGTTGAGACATTCCATTCAAGGTGTAGGCCGTGGAAATCCGTGCAAGAGAATTGGTTTATAGCACGATATGCCATCCGATGATCGAGCGAGTCTCTTGTTATGCCAGTCGACTTGTACAATGCAGAGTGAGCTTGACTGAGCTCGAATTTTGGTGTTTAGTATATATGTTGCTTGTGTCGTTAGCTTGTGGAGTCTAATCTTTCTACCTTGACCAAGGATTGCAATTATCAATGAATAAGTCCCACGGATCAAGAACATTTCACAGCTTCAAACCTTGTGATTGTTTCAAAAATGATGTGTATATTCGGATGATCAAATTCGAGCTTTTCCTTACGATGATCCACGTTTATCTTTTTCTGTGCTACCCTGGCGCCCCTTTCTTCGTTTGTTTTCATCTTCAATGTTCGCGAGGACCGCGTCTTTCGAGGCTCCTGCCATGCAAGTCTCTACCAGTCTTCGCGCATTTTCTGGATGGAGGACTTTGCTTATAGAAGATCTGCTTTTGCCAAACATCTGAGCAATGTCGGCTTGATACACAACTCTCCTCTGTTCCCACACTTCTGCGTTGTAGTAGAGGAGGACGATGCTCAGCTTCTCCTCGATTCCCAGCCTCTTCACCCCCATGCATAGCCTGCTATGCTTTTGTCGTTTCTCTAGGCCCCATTGCTGCTTAGCTTGGCCTTGGCGCGCTGCAGGAGCGCCGTCTTCCTCATAACTAGCTGAGGTCGCACTAGTCTGGTCCAATGCTGCATCGAGTTTGGTAAGCTCATGCTCATGTCCGGCCACACAAGATGGGAGCGGAAGAGAGAAGTACGGAGAGCACAAGTAGGAGGAGAAGGCATACTCCCCTGTCTCCCACCCTGCTTCCTCCCCTGCCTGCTCGTTGCTCTCTTGCATGGTTCTTGCGCGGCCTCACCCCCTCGAAACCTCTATCTATTTACTACTTATTTGTCATGGACCCTGGTCAACTTTAAAAAGAAACAGAACTAAGTTGACAGAAGTGCGGACTGAGCATCTGACACGTGACAGCCAGCCAGCCGTTGGTGCGTGACCGAACATGTGATAACAGTTGTAAGTGGGAGTGTAAGTGAAAGGTTTGTGTCCTCTCAGGTATGCAGCTGACATGGCAGCTGAAGAGGTCTGTTGAGTATCCACAGATCATGTAATAACAAAAGCTTGCATCACTTTATCCGAAGGTTCCCGTCATGGTCCGTCCGTTGTCAGCGAGCTGCGCGAACGATGGGAAGGTTCGAGCTCGAAGCCGGACGAGCTCCTCCCTCATCAGCTCAATCTCTCGTGTTTGCGCCTGCCAAGCGGTCAAGAGTTTGACTCCAGCTGGGCTAGACCATCACACCTTAGCGAGGTCGAGAAGCCTTCGGTGGGTGACCATGAGATTCATCTTCAGTGCTGATTTCTGATTGGCTTTCGCTGCCCCCCCGCCCACAGCTGACGATCCCTGCTGGAGGTCAGCTCAACCCTGAATCGCTGTGCTTTACCTGTAGCTCGCACAGTCGCTGTCGCTCCACAACGGAGCTCTCGAGTGCAAAGATGTCCTGCAAGCATGAGGGTTAGGAGCTTCCAGCAGCTGCAGCTCCCGACCTCGTCCAGCTCGGCGTTTTCTTGCTCTGTAGTACCACGCTGTGCATCAAGCGCCTCTACCGCCTGAGACATCGCCATCAGGGCGGGGGGTCAACAGGTTCGCCTGCTCACCTTGCTGCGCTCCTCGATCCTCTGCTGGTGGATCTGAGATTGGTACGCAATCATCTTCTCCAGCCTGCCCCCAGCTCGAGTCAGACGCAGGGCCGAGGCAGACGCGGGGCCTCTCACCCGGAAGTTTCCTTGGCGGTCTGACTCTCGCCCGAGGACCCTTTGATGAATCGCTGAAGGCTCTTGGTGACTCGCAGCAGCTGTAAAACATCAGCTGGGGGTCAGCTGAGGCTGGTGAGGAGCTGGAGTGTACCTGGAGGTCTTTGGTCTTCTGCAAGCAGTCCTCTTCCTGCAGCTCCAGGCGCTGGTTATCCCACTGCAGCAGGTGGATGCCCTTGCGGAACTCTTTGATCTCGTTGAGCACGGCGATCTTGTCGCCTCCTCTTGACTTGATCGCCTCGTTCAGCATTGACATCACCGATCGCTCCACCAGCTCCGCGTCCGAGTAGTCGGTTATGAACGTCGACTGCTCTACCTCAACCTGCCCCTGCTTCATCCCCACCGTCAGGTCCAGGTCGTACTCCGCTTGCGCCATCCGCTGCAGCAGCTTCTTCATCTCCTCTTCCGCTGCCGCGATGCTCTCCTCGATCTGCGTCTTTGCCCATTCCAGCCGCTTCAGCTCACTCTGCATATTCTCCAGCTGCGTCACGTGCTCCTGCACCACCTCATCCTGAGATCGAGCCTCGGCCACGAGGTTGTCGAGGCGTTGGATGAGGTCAGCTGAGAAGCCCTGAAGGATATCATCCAGCTTCCCTCGCTTCTTGAACGCTTTCATCGCCTGATCGATCGTCTCCTTGTCCGCCGCGTGCTCCTGCAGCTCCTTTCTCAAGCCCTTCTCGAGGTTGGCTCCCTCTTGCCGCACCGCATCAACTCTGAGCTCGAAGGTCTGCACTTCCTCCAGATACTCCCCGACAGCTTTCTCTGCCAGCTCATGCCGGTACTTGAGCTCCTCGAGCCCCAGAACGAGCGACTGCCGGGCAAGAATGTCGTCCTCCTCTTGCGCGATGGCCTGGATGAGCTTGACCTTGTAGAGCTCGAGCTCGATCAGCTTGTACTCGGTCCTCATCTTCACATCCGTCAGCTCCTGCAGCTGGTCGTCGAACTTCTTGCTCTCCTCCACTATCTCCGACCGGAGCTTCTTCGCCTCCCCCTCCAGTGACTTGGCGTACGCGTCTTGCTCTGCAAGGAAGGCCTGCCAAGAGCCCGTGAGCAACGACAGGGAAAGCAAGAGAAGGACAACACCTTGTACTGCGCTTCCCACTCCTTGAGCTTCTGCTGCTGCTCCTCCGTCAGCTCCTCGTTCTCCCCAACCTCGAGGTTCGCAGGCTTCGTCATCACTTGCTCCAGCTTGCTGATCGCGTTGACCCCAGCTAGCGTCCCTCCCATCATCATGTTCAGCGCTCTCTCCACATTAGCATCTCCTGCCGAGGCCTCCCGCTGCTTCCTCGCTTCCTCCTCTTTCGCCTTCTGCTCAGCAGGAGAGACCCACTTGGGCGCTGAGATCTCGCGGTCGGAAACCTCGAGCAGCTGGTGCAAGTGAGCAGCAGGAAACGAGGGAGGGAAGGAGGAGGAGGCGACGAGGTGAGGCATGAAGAGGATAAGGCAAGGAAACGGGACGAGATGGGGAGGCGAGGTGAGAGGGACAAGAGGAGGCGAGCGGGTAGAAGGGGAGGGTCAGGGCAAGAGCAGGAGCACGGAAGGAAGCAAAAGACCTTGTTCGGCTGCTCCTCGTCATGGAGGCCCAGCGCCTCCTTGGCGTCAGGTTGCTTAAGCTCCTTGAGGATCTCCAGGATGCGAGTTTGCTTCTCCTCCATCCTCCCCAGCGTCGCGGATTTCTTCTTGAGGAATTCATCGAAGAGCGCGTTGAACTTGGTCTGCTCGCGGCGGTCAGGATGGGACAAAGGGGTTAAGGGCAAATGGGTACAGGAACAGGGAAGGGGAAGGATGAGGATGAGGATGAGGATGAGGATGAGGATGAGGATGAGGATGAGGATGAGGAGGAAGAGAGGAAAGAGCAAGACTGGGTGACCTTGACAGATGTGATGAAACTCTCGAGCATGTAGATCTGTGCTGTCTTTCTCTCTCGTGTAGTGACGTTGAGACGGTGATAGATCAGCGGGTCATCCTGCTGGGCCCTCCATGACTCGTCAGTGTTGTCAAGCACGGCAGAGCTCTTGAGGCTCTCGGGGTCGGACGGCTTGTCTCCTGTCTTATCTCCTGTCTTGTCTCCTCCTTCCCTGCTCTTGAGATCGAAGCTCAAGCTGTAGCTATCGAACTGCACGAAGCTCTTAGAGGCGCCAAACTCCTGCTGCTGACGCGCGAGAGTCTTCAGCTCGATCTCCCGCATGGTCCGGATGCGATCGATACGCCTCTTTCTCTCCTCCTCCACCTTGAGGATCGGGTAGTTGGGCACAGAGACGTCAGTGGTGAAGGCATGGATCTTCATCCCGTGAGTCTCCATGCTGTCCCAGGCCACTTCCTTGATCCTCCTCCTCTCCTCTTCCTTGCTCACGTTCTCCTCCGAGATGCTCCTCTTGGTGTCCTCCACTCGCGCGTCCCCGTCCGCGATGATCCTCTTTCTCAGCTCGGCATCGATGACGATCTCCTCCCTCGCGATCCTCTCCAGCTCTGGAGCTCCTGAGTTCTTCTCCAGAAGGAAGTCCAGCTGGGCCTTAATTTGGCGGATCCTGTCTCGCATCTCGTTCTTCTTCACCGCGTTGAGCGCGTTGTTCATCTCCTGGATTGACAAGAGCCGCACCTCCTCAAACGTCCTTACCTCCCCAGCCTCCACCTCCTCTCCGAGCAGATCGTACAGCTTCTTCCCCATCGTGAACCGAGTTGGAGGGCCCGACGCGTCCTCCTCTAGCAACAAGCTGCTTGCTAGCAGCAGCACCGTCCCGTTGCAGCTGGCGCAGGCCAGCAAGCCGGCAGGAGATGAGAGGCACATAGAGGAGCATCCTCCCTGCCAGGCGCTGAAGGCTCGCAGGGCATGCACCGTCAGCAGATCGTCTCCTGACCGTAGCACGATCTTTCCTCCTTCTCCTCCCGAAGCCAACAGGCCGGCGTCCCCCCCTCCCGCTATGTGCAGCACGACCTTGTCGTGAGCTCCGAAGGTGAGCGAGGGCTGGGCAGGAGGCAGGGACGAGACCTCCTCTGCCCCCGCTGATCCCCAGCTACCCTCCAGCTCGAAGAGGAGGACCTTCTTGCTGCGCGAGCTCGATGCCGCAAACTTGCCCCCGACCCGGGCGACCTGACCGCAAGCGATCTCCGTCCTGATAGTCGACAAGTCTGCGGCTAGCTGCAGTTCCTCCTCGCTCCTCTCCGAGAAGTTCTCGATCCTCAGGAGGTGGTCGAGCTCGGCCGCTACTATCAGCTGCTCCTCCCTCACCCACAGTAGATTCCCTCTCGCCGACGATGCCGCGCCCGTCTCGACGTACCCTCGCACCTCCGCTGAGCTCTCCTCAACCTTGAGGAGGTAAACGTGCGAAGAGCCTTCGGCCATCACCGCCAAGCTCTTTCCCTTATCTGAGAACCGAAGGCTCACAACCTTGCTGTGAAACAACTTGAAGACAGCCCTGCTCTTCATCTTGGGGAAGGCCGAGACGTCCAGCAGCTGCACGCTCCCCCCCTCATCGCCGATCGCGAGGAGAGAGTAACTAGGATGATGCTCGACGCAGGACAGAGGACGCCCGACATCTTGCACGGCAGAAGCACACTTCTTCCTGCAGTCCCAGAAGATAAGCTTCCCGTCCTCTCCCGCGCTGACAAGAGAGTGGCTGAGGAGAGGGGAGAATGAGAGGCCGACGACGCGGCCCACGTGTGAGAGCATGATCCTCTTGAGCGAGTGGAGCTTGTCCCGCTGCATCTCCCCGAAGACAACGTCTGCGTCCTTGACCTCGGCCTCTGACATCTCAAACGTCTGCGGGAGGTCAGAAAGCATCTCAAGGAGGAAGACGCTTCCGTCAGACGAGGAGAGGACGATGTCTCCTCGTTGCGAGTCTGAGCACATGCAGGCAGACACCAGCGAGTGGCTGGAGGACAGAGGTATCCTCACCTCATACAACTTGCTCAGCGAGTCAGCGTCGAACCAGAGAACGCGCGCGTCCCCGGTGCAGACGACAAGGGAGCGATCGAAGGATAGCAGGGAGGACGAGGACCAAGGGTTGTCCGTGAAGAAGCATGGCTCGCCTGACAACGTGTACAGGGAGACGTCCAGCTGCCAGAGGCTACCCTCTGAAGTCGTGCTGAACAATCTTCCTGAAGCATCCCAGGTGAAGGCCGCAAACTCCACGTCCGGGTTGGGAGGGTCGAAGCGGAGGAACTCGAGTTCTAGAGCCCCCTGCTCACTGTTGACCACGTTGCAGAGGAAGAGCTGGCCATTGCCCAGCAGCGCCAGCTGGTCCGAGTTCTTGGGGTTGAAGTGGCAGGAGGAGAACTCTTGCGGGGAGACCCCAGTCACCTGCAAGTCCACTCCATCCTCGCCCCAGTTCCAGATTGAGACCGTGTGATCAGGGATGGACGATATGGTAGCCATGGACTCGCCGTCCTGCGAGAAGGACATGCAGTCCAGTCCGATCGATCCCACGTTGGGCATGTGCACAGCCTCCTTCCCGTCCTCCATGGAGCACACATGCACTGCCGCTCGCTCCCCCCGCTCAGAGTACGCGTAGAAGTGGAAGCTGGGGTGCGCAATGAGCATGTCAGGCCCGAACCCCTTGCAAGGGAAATGCCGGGAGGCTTCGCCCCTCGTCAGGTCCACGTGAAAGCTGCTGACTATGTTGCCGTTGATGGAGAGATACTTCCCGTCTCCCCCATACACCAGGGGGCTGCCGGAGTAACCTAGGCACGCATTGATGTTGAGCGGTAGCTCGGCCATGTCCACGTTGCTGTGAAGACTTGTTGTTGTCCTTCCTCCTCCTCGAGATCACGTTTGCGTCATGCAGAGATCCCGTGTCAAGATGGATCGATCCCACAGACAGCGGCTAGAAGGAGCAGGAGGAGGACAAGGAGAGGGGCGGAATGGCAGAGAGGAGAGAGAGAGAGAGAGAAGGAGCAGCAGGAGAAGAAGCAAGGATATAAGGAAGGATCACTAGCCCAGGAAGCAAGAGGGTGAGGCTGGAGGCTGGCACGCACAACAAGGAGCCGGAAGCAGCAGCGGCAGCGGCACCGCCATTCTAGCGCAGCCCTTGTGCCATTTCAACGGCTGTGGGCTACTGAGGCGGACCAGCTATGTGCTTGAAACCTTTTTTTTAATTTTTCTTTCCTCGGTTTTTTTAGTATTGTTTTTTTCAGCGTTGGGTCGTGGCCCCCCGTTTACCCTCAATGCTTGCAGGGAAGGGCATGGCGACTGGAGCCGAACAAGCGACAGCTATCCTCCTCCTCCTCCTTCCTGCTGTATCCTCCTACCTCGTATCTCTTGCTCCTCTCAGCCCTTCTGCTCTCTCCTCGCATTCCGCGCTTCCCCTCGGTCTCGGAAGGAGCCCCATCACGAGCCGCAAAGACTGGGACGCTGGTGCATGGTACAGCAAGAGGGCTGCGCATGGCGACGGGAGAGCAAGGAGGAGGTCGTCTTGGTCGATCCTCCAGAGTTTGAAATGTCGTAAGGAAGGAAATGCTGACTCGGCAGATCAACGAAAGTTCCCTGAGCTTTACCGGAAGGACAGGGATGGAGCAGGCGCAACGTTGGAAGCATCCTCGATCTCAGTAGCGATAGCAGAGCAGCCGAGCATGGGGATGAAGGGGAACTTCCAGAAGCCGGAGGTCCTCGCCCCTGCTGGAGGATGGCCCCAGCTCAAGGCGGCGGTTGAGAACGGGGCAGACGCGGTCTATTTTGGGCTTTCCAAGTTCAATGCACGAGCAAGAGCGTCTAACTTTCACCCTGAGCGAGACCTGCCAGCAGTAATGGAGTACTTGCACAGGCACGGGGTGAAGGGATACGTCACTGTCAACGTCCTCCTCTTCGACTCCGAGCTCGACGAGTTCGAGGACATGGTCCGCTCCATCGCCCGCCATGGCGTCGATGCGGTGATCGTGCAGGACATAGGGGCGGTGAAGATGATCAAGAGCATCTCCCCCAACCTCAACATCCATGGCAGCACGCAGATGAGTATCACCTCAGCTGAGGGTGTCAAGTTTGCGCGTCGGCAGGGAGTCAGCAGAGTCGTGCTGGGCAGGTGAGGGGAGAGGATGGCGCAGTTTGATCCTCTAAGTTTACTGCAGGGAGTTGTCTGTCACAGAGATTGCGTCAATCCAGAAGGAGATCGGGGAAGAACTTATGGAGGGCATCGAGATCTTTGTGCATGGAGCTCTGTGCGTGAGCTACTCAGGACAGGTAGATCACGAGCGTGAGGAGGAGGAGGCGGAGGAAGTGGAGTTGGACCCTGCGAGAAGAATTCTCTCTGACCCTGCTTCCAGTGCTTCTCCTCCGAAGCATGGGGAGGTCGCTCAGCCAATAGAGGACAGTGCGCACAGGTGAGAGGGAGCTTGTCGTCTGCCGACGCCTCTGATAGCTCTTGCTTCAGGCTTGCCGCCTCCCTTACGAGCTGCTTGTAAACGGGAAGAGGAAGCCAATGGAAGACGTTAAGTATCTGCTCAGCCCGCAAGACCTGATGGCTGTCGAGCTGGTTCCCCAGCTGATCTCAGCTGGAGTCTCCTCCTTGAAGATCGAGGGCAGGCTCAAGAGCCCGGAGGTAACTCAAATTCTTCTCTCCTGTTGCCTCCCTCAGCTGCTCTCATAGTACGTGGCACTCACAACCAAAGTCTACCGAGAGGCTGTAGACAAGGCCTGGGAACTGTTTTCCTCTTCCTCCTCTTCCTCCAAGAAGGACACAAGCTTGATCAGCGAGCTCAGCAGAAGGGAGCTACAGCAAGTGTTCGCGCGAGCACAGGTGAAGAGGCAGGGATGGAGAAGATGAGGTGGAAGGGAGAGAGGAGGAGAAAGGGAAACCGATGAAGAGGGGAAAGAGGATGAGGAGGGAGGGAAAGAGAGACAATGAAGCAAGGGGCGAGAGGCGGGAAGAAGGAAGAAAGGAGAGGAGAGGAGCAGGAAACACAATCCACTGACGGAGTTGACAAGGACGAGAATCACAACGGCCTGACCCCTGGGTTCCTGGAGGGACCTCGCCATCAGCGACTAGTCAGGGGAAGAAATCCGCGACATCGCGGGATTCTAGTGGGAAAGGTTGAGGGAGTGGAGGATGGAGGCGTGCGAATCAAAGTCTGCGGTCCCATCAAACGAGGAGACGGTGTCGTGTTCGACAGAGGGGCACCTGAAGAAAAGGAAGAAGGAGGCTCCGTGTATGAGGTGAGGGGAAGGAGGAGGGAGGGAGGAGGAAGAAGAAGAGGAAGGAGGAAGAGGAAGGAGGCAGAGGAAAAGGAAGAGGGAGGAGGAAGAAGAAGAGGAAGAAGAAGAAGAAGAAGAAGGAGGAAGATCAAGGAGGAAAGAGGATGAGGAAGGAGGAAGGAGGGAGAGGAAGGTGGAGCGGTGGGGAGGTGGGAAAGAGGATGGTGGAGGGAGGGAGAGGAGATGAGAGAGAGGAGGATGGAAGGTGGGGAAGGAAGGGGGCTGATGGTTAACAGGTGATTGACTCTCGAGGACGGTCGGTCGCTAGGACATCAAATGAGGTGATGCCGAGTGGAAGGAGTTTGCGGTTGCTGAGCTACAGCTGGGGCAGGAGGTCACCTCTGGATCCTTCCTGGTCAAGTTCGGGAAGAATGCACTGGAACTGAGGAGGGTAGGACGAGGAGACCTGGTGTGGAAGACAAGGGACGCGGCAGTGGACAAGAAGCTCGAAGCGCTGGTTAAAGGTGGAGGAGAGAGGGGAGGACACGGAGGAGGAGCAGAAGGAGCGTCGGAAAGCGCAGCAGGAGTTAGCATCAAAGTTTCAGGCGAGCTGGGAAAGCAGCTCACGATTATTGCTGAGGACCAGCTGGGAAGAGTGGGAAGAGGAACGACGATGTCAGTACTGCAAGAGGCAACAAGCAAGGGACTGGATGAGGAAAGTCTGCGCAAGGTGAGAAGAAACATTCAATGTTCACCCTTCTCCTCCTCATACTCCTTCTCTCTCTTGCCCCCTCCTCGTGTCTGGTCCGTCTTCCTCTCTAATCTCCTGCTGAACTTCCCTCTGATCTCGTTGTTGCTGTCTCCTGCTCTTGCTCCTGCTGCTCCTCCTTCTCCTCCTCCTCTGGCCATCTGCAAAGGAACTCTGACGAGGTGCATGCGCGGCAGTCCATAGGGTTGCTCGGAGGAACAGGTCTCCGCCTCCTCCACCTTGACGTCTCTGCCCTGGCCGGAGGAACTTTCGTGCCTGCCAGTGAGATCAAGGCAGCACGCAGAGAGGCAGTGGAGCAGCTGCTTGAGCAGAGGCTCATGTACACGTGAGCTGACTTGTCTCGTTTCCTCCCTCCTGTCTTTCCTCCTCGCTCTCCCTCCTTCCTCTCCCTCCCTCCCTCCCTCCTCATCTTCACCCTTCTCTCCCACCTCTCTGCTCCTCCCCCCCCTCGTGAGGATGACAAGATTTCTACAGGACGGCAGAGGGGATGGCGGAGGAGGCAGTCGTATCCAACATCGTTGACGCATCTTTCACCTCCCTGGCACAAGGCGAGAGGCAGGCAGGCAGGGACGGAAGGGCGCCCAAGATCGCGATCCTGTGCAGGACCAGAGAGCAGTGCGAGGAAGCGATGAAGGTGGAGTGGCTGGAGGAGATCATCCTGGACTTTCTCGAAGTCCACGGGCTCGTTCAAGCCGTCGAGGCTGTCAGAGGCTCAGGGAAGCGAGTGATCGTAGCGACTCCCAGGTGAGGAGCAGGTGGAAGAGGAGGAACGGGGAGGAATGCGGGGGAGGGAGTTGTTGTGAAGGAGGAGGAGGAGAAGGAAGTGGAGGAGATCTAAGCTTTCAACAGGGTGCTGAAACCAGAAGAGGAGAGGATGTGGAGGTTTTACCTCAGGCTCGGGGCGGACGCTCTGCTCGTGAGGAGCACGGGGATGCTGCAGAAGCTGACGGACCTGGGAGGGGCTGGAGCGGTTCTCTCTGACAAGGAGGAGCTGAGAATCCCCGAGCTCCACGGTGACTTCAGCTTGAATGCCGCAAACAGGATAAGCGCTCTCCACCTGCTGGAGGAGGGGTTGGCCCGCCTAGCCCCCACCCACGACCTGAACGCCTTCCAGCTGTGCGAGCTGGGAAACTCTCTGGGGCCTGGTGGGCACCAGCTGGAGGCAATCATCCACCAGCACCTGCCGATCTTTCACACCGAGCACTGCGTGTTCTGCCGCTTCCTGAGCGACGGCAACAGCTACAAGGACTGCGGGCATCCCTGCGAGACCAACTCCGTCCACCTCCGCGACCAGGCAAGGAGAGCACGTGAGGGTGCGGGTCCTGACGAGGAGAGCAGGAGGGGAACGAGCATCTGGTGCTGGCAGACATGGGGTGCAGGAATACTGTCTTCAACGCTAAGGCTCAGTCCGGAGTCTTTTACGTTTCTGACCTCATCAGAGCTGGTTACAGGAATTTTCGCATCGAGTTGGTCGACGAGGTGAGAGAGAGCTGGGCATGACTTGATCAAACTGACTTCCTCCTCTTCCTCTCTCTTGTCCTCCACTTCCGTCGTCTGCTTCCTCTCTCTCTCGTCTTCTTCTTCTCCTCCCCCCTGCTCTAACCTTCTTTCTTTTCTCATCCTGCCTCTCTCACTGTCTTCAGCCTCCCCATCAAGTCATTCCCATCCTCACAGCTTATCACGACCTCCTGCATCATCGAGCAACCCCGGGAGAGCTCTGGACGTGGCTGCGGAGTCTGCAAAACGCCAACGGCAGAGCGCAGGGGGTGGAAGAGGGTTCCCTGGTACACTCAGCTAGAGCGAGAGCCGAGGACCTCAAGCCGACGGCATCGCAGCAGAACCCCAAGTGGTCGAAAATGGGAGCACAGGCGCTCAAGGACAAGTGACGAGGACATGAAGAGCTGTGGCTCTTGCGGTAGAAGTGCAAAACAGTGTGCGATTAGTGAATCATATTTCAGTCATGCCAGTAACCCAATCCCCTCTCCCTCCTTTCTCTTCCTCTGCTGCTCCCTCCCGTCTCCCCCTCCCCATCATCTTCCCAGCAGCCTCTGAATCTCCCTCACTCGCTGCGACGCGTTGGAGAGGGTAGAGGATTCTTGCGACTGAGCCTTCAGCTGCTGCCTGTGCGCGAGCGTCCGAGGGGATTTCAGCAGAGTCGCTGCGGAGAAGAAAGATGGCGGCTCTCCCCGCTTCTCCGCAGCATCTCGCTCAGCTCCGCTCCTCCTGGTCGAACCTCGCTGGAAGGACTTGAGGAGGGGAGCAGAAGTTGTCGCTAGAGGCTCCTGCGGAGGCTGCAAGGAAGGAGAGGGTCTCTGTGGGAGGGCATGGAAGGAGATGGACTTCTTCATCTCCGCCATCTCCTTGAAAAAGGTCGTTTCCTTGTGATGCTCGAAGAACCTTTGAGCCTCCTTGAACAGGCGCTCAAGATCCTTGATGTTGTTCCACAGAGCAGAGGAAGCATCGCCCATGGCGAGCGATGGCAGGTGGGAGGCGCTCAGAGAGCCGCTGACGCTCATGAGCATGCGATGAGTCACCGCCAGCTCTGCCTTAGCTGAGTTCTTCTCCTCTTCCAAGATCGACATGAACGCCTCAAGCTCCACCAGCTGCACCTTTGTGTCTCTCAGCTCCTGGAGCAGGTGCAGGTCGTTGTGCTCGTGTCCTCTGCTGTCGTCCGATCGATTCTGCTGACGATCAAGCCGTGACAGTCGGAGGTTGGCGGTCAGACTCGCGGGGCTGTCGAGCTGGGAACTTCGTTCATGCATCATCATGGTCAGCTCATGTCTCGACCTCTCAGTCTCCATGAGCCTCCTCTCGAGCCTCGAGCTCTTGAACTTGGTCGAGTTCAGCTCGTAAGTCAACCGGTCACAGCTTGCCTCCATTTCCAACGTCATCTGCTTCACTATCGCCAGCCTTTCGGAGCTCTCACGTACGAAGTTCAAGAAGAAGGGGAAGGAGGTGTCGAGGTAGGCTTCCTTCCAGTTCTTCATCGCAAGCTCCATGCTCGTCGCTTCCGTGCCTCTCACTGTAAGAGCTCCATCCGCCTCTTGCTCTGGTTTCTGATTCTTGAAGCTGCTGTGAGAAACTTCGACACTGGCAACACTCTTGATGACTTCTGATTCCTGCTGGTGCGACAACTTGCTGCTATGATCCTCCAGCTGCTTGACTCTCAGCTTGAGCAGCTTCATGTCAGCTCTCGACGTGAGGAGCTCAGAGTCTCGTTCCTTAAGCTGCACTCTGGATGCCTCAAGCTCCTTCTTGAGCTTGGTCAAGTCGTGACTAGTCGCGCTCGCACTCTTGGAGCAGAGGCTGTTGACATGCTTCAGTTCCTCGTTTTCTTTTCTGAGGTCTTCACACTGTTTCTCGACAACAGCAATCTGACTCTTGAGGTTTTCATTGTCAAACGACATTCTTTGCTCGCTGTCCAACACTCGAGCGATCTCTCTCCGGAGTTCTTCATTCTCAATCAGTGAGATTTCCCGATGATTTCGCTGCTCTTCCATCTCGTTTGCTAGCCGGGCGTTCCTCTTCTTGAGTTCAACCATCTCTCTCTCTCTCGACTTAAACATCGACTTCAGCTTCAAATGCGAGTCAACCTCTGACGCTAACTGCCTCTCGAGCTCTTGCACACGACTCCGGAGGTGCCAAATCGTCTGTCCTTGATTGTCGTTCAACTTTTGATTTTCTTGTTGTTCCTTCCACTTGGCCGACAACTCTTTGTACTTCCCTAGGTAGTGTTTGAACATGATGTCTTTCTCTTCGCAATTCCTTTGAATCCTGTGCAGATTTTCTTGAAGCTCACTCCAGCTAAGCTCTGCTTCTTCCTTTGCAAGCCTGATAGATACAAACAATTCTTGCGCAAAGAACTGAGTCTTGATGAGAACTTCTTGCGCTCTTTGTTTCTGTTTGTTTGCTTCGAAGTGCCTCAACTCGTAATCTTCACAAGACAGCTCTTGGAGCATGCTCTGCTTCTGGTCAAGAGAAGTCTCCAATAGCCGGATCTTGTTTTCAGCTCGAGCGGCTTCAACGCTGGCTTGAAAAAGTTTGTCTTCTAGCAGTTTGTTTCTAGACCTCAAAGCATGCAGTTCACCTTGAGCACTCGGTTCCTCCTGTAACGAAGTGTTTCTTTCCGTGTCCTGCTCCAGGTCGTCAGGGCTGAGGGGGAAGAAGGGACCTCCAACGCTGATTCATCGACTCACCCTCATGCGGCGATCGCTGTCCCCATCTCCCGCCTGGTAGGAAAGGTCGTGCGGGCCGACGGTCTTCTTGTCTTGTATGCCCATGATCCTCTCCTCGGCCTCATGCGCGTGCAATCTCTGGACAGACCGCGGCGAAAATTCTCTATCACTTGCGTCTTGTTTGACGATGAAAGGAGGCATGTCGTCCGCGTACAATCGCTTCGACGCCTTCACTTTGTTCTGGAGCACAACAGTCTGAGCACATGCAACATAAAATCATCTCAGTACTTACTTCATAGTTGTGAATGTTTCTCCGATCACTCGGATGCTCGTCTTCAAGGTCGATGCTGTCAGGCGACTCGAATTCATCAAAGCCATCCGAGTGTCTGATCGCAGAGATGGGAGAAGCGAGATTACATGAGTCGTTGTTGTCGTTTTCGATCTCAGCCTTCGAGTCTTCTTTGCCAGAGGTAGCTCCATACATCTCATCGCACAAGACTGGAGCAAGTGGTGGACTGATCATAGGTCCTCCTGTTGGGCAAGGGAGGAGCAGAGTCACATTTGCTGGATGTCAGGAGACAACAAGACAACACCGCTATGCTTCTCTTCTTGCTCATCAGCAATGCGCTCCTCTCTACCGTTGGACGCCTGGCCCCACGCAGAGCTAGGATCGGTGCGTCTGCTATTGGGACTTCCGCTGTGAACAGCCTGATTGATGTCTAACTTCAACAAACACATCTCTCACATACAAGAGAGCAGAACAATACCTGGTTGTATAATCGTTTTCCATTCACAGAAAATTTTGAGCTTTCAACCTCAATCTTTGGTCCAACATGCTTCAACGGTATGTTGTCATCTTCATGCTTGCTGTTATTCTCCTTGCGCGCGTTCTGGTCAGCATTCATCGGGTCTAGCATAGACTATGTCGAGGCATGTTGCCCCCTGCTGGAAGGAATCAGTCTCAAGCGCTCGACTCCCTTGAACCATGCTTCCTTCAAGTCAGACGAATCAGACCGTCAGGCTAATTCTTGACCTCAAGCCATTGATACATGCGAATCTACTATGCCATCTGGATTCTCATGAAAACCCATACTCTTCAATTATTTCTTTTCGTCAAGTTTTCGTTGCTGGTAAAGTAACTTCTGCCTACACCTGTGACTCGCTAAATACCCTTGCATAGCTAGGCGATTTATCTAGGCGATTAATGCGGCTTCTGCCATGAAGCTGAAAGCTACTCTCTTCCTGTTGTCAAAACTTATCTCTCGCTGAGCTTCATCAGTCTTCTCCCCGCCAGCGGCTCTCTCTCTACAGCTCTCCTTTCCTCAATTTCACTTTGACCGGCGGCTCGTTTTCTCTGCTTCGGACGCAGCTTGCTCATGAGCAGATCGTCTCTTCTACGAACATCAGCAGCTCACGTCCTGAAGCAGATCGTCTCTTCTACGAACATCAGCAGCTCACGTCCTGCTAAAGCAGATCGTCTCTTCTACGAACATCAGCAGCTCACGTCCTGCTAAAGCAGATCGTCTCTTCTATGAACATTAGCAGCTCACATCCTGAAGCAGATCGTCTCTTCTATGAACATCAGCAGCTCACGTCCTGAAGCTTACGCCTGCATGCTGCACGTCAAGCTCGGGCCTCGCCGGCAGCCGCCCTCATTTCTTGCTGGTCGCTTTTATCACCGCCGCCGGCCCGACTCGCCTCGCCATGTCACGAGTCGGAGAGACCAAGAGAAGGACGTAGAGCTGCAAGCTCGCCTCAACTTACATGCCCCATTGGTAACTGATTTTTAACTTAATTAACTTTGAGTAAAGAACTCGCCGAAGCCTCCGGCTCGCCGGAGTCGGCTCGGAGTCCCGGTCCGGCACTGCTGAGCAGCAAGTTGGCCGCAGCGCGCAACTTTTGGCCCGGCCGGGCCCGGCCGCCGCATGCCAGTCAGTCGGCGGCCGGCGGCCCGCCCTCTCCCCGCCCGGCCGGCGCGGCCGCGGCTCGGAGTCACGAGTCAGTGGCGGCCGGGCGGCCAGCCCGCCGTAAGGTAGTACGGCCCGGGGCCACTGCTCGGAATCACGCCGGTCGGATCCGCCGAACTTCGGAACTGAAGGCGGCGGGTCGCCGGCCCTGAGGCCATTGTAACCGCCGCGCCGCCGTTCCCGCCCGCCCCCGTGCCCGGGGCAGCGCGGCCATCTCACTGATCCCACTGGAGTCCAGCCGCTCACGGTAGCGGCCTCCTTCCGGGCAGGCCGGGCTGCGGCCGCGGGCGCCGCCTGCGCGGCGGCCTGGCAGTGGCCTCTCACAGTGGGCGCGCACCCCTGATCGGACTCCGGGCCGAGCCCGCCGGGCCCCGCCCGGAGGAACAGGAAGCCTCCTGAGGCTGGCGGAAGGAGGCCCGCCATCTGATGGCCCGCCATCCGATCCGACGGTACTGGGGGGGTAGGAGGATGCCGCCGGAAGAAGAGGTCCACGCGGGGCGTCGTCATCCTCCGAGGATCTGCACAAGCTGCGTCCGATGGTGATAGGCTCGTGCAGATCACCATGTCGTACGGCACCATGCCCTCCCACACGGTGGCCGCCTCGAGATCCATCAACATGGTAAGCTCCCCTGCCGCGCATTGCCTGATCGGACTCGGATGCCAACCACGACCGCGCGTTCCGGGCCTCCACCTTCAGACGGCTTTTCTGCATCCGCTTATTTTCAAGCGTGCCACATCTCGAATATCAGCCGCAAGTCTGAAAGATAACACTGCTTGACCAGCTCCTCCACCAAAATCATTTCCAACTTAGCTTTTACCGACTCTTCTCCTGCTACATCTTCCAACCGTACTTATTGAGCAGAATTTTCATCTGAACCATGACGCCATGAAACAGTCACACTTCTGTTCTTTTCCCATACTGTATGAAATTCACCACCAAAATTTCCAAGTTGATCAAGCGGGAACTCTCGTATCAATGGGATCAAACACATACCCAGGCCTGTTCTGTATTGATTCATTGCATTCTGAATCGGAAGTAGCAAGTCATCTAATTCCTCCTGTGAAGTCACAGATCCTTATTTGTCCATCTGTAAGTCAGGATGAGTCTTCATCAACTCCCGGCGGGCTCGCTCAAATCCAGTTTTCCACCGCCCATGTTAAAAGCAGTGGGCTTGAATGTCCAAACTTAATAGCAATGTCCCACAAAAAATCAACTCCGACCTTCTAAACAACTTCCAAGCACAAGGAAGAATGCAACGTCCCCAAAACATCGAATCCAACCGTTCCAAACAGCGATTTCCACACACTGTCATCGAATCACCGGCGACTCAAATGAATCCGTGACAACAAGGAACAGAAATTACTCTTTGTTCCAGTTCAGACCGTACGGTTAATCACGGTTGCGCAACAATAGTAAAAATTGAGAACTGAGAACAAAGAGAAAATTTTCTCTTTGTAATCGAATCAACCTCCACCTCACTGGCCAGACCAAACTATTTCCAACTCCACAGACAATGAGTCTTCTTGGTTCTGATGAGGAAGTAGTCTATCAGGTAGGAACCGAGTACTGGTACTTTGATGGGACAGAATGGAGTCGGTTTAGAGATGCCGCCGTTTCTGCAACTTTCCTCTCCACTTTCCGAGGGTGGTACATCTGCGACCTGTACAAAGGTCAGGGGAACTACGTGTTGTCACGTTCGGTAAAGACAATCATACTGTCTTCACCCAAGCTTGGAGGGTTCAAGGACATTCTGAACAATGGAGCTGGGCGATATTTTCTGCCAACATGGACTGATGAGGAGATGTCAATCTTCATCGAGATGTAAGAGGATCGCGTTAACGAAGAAGAAGCAAGGAACGTCGTCAAGGATTGGGGGAACGTACCAAGAAATGTCATAGTGAGGCCTGTAGACACACTTGAGCAGGCGATACAGACGATAACCTCAATTTCCTCGCTACAGGAAAAGATGAGAGCAGCAGTGAACGAAGACCTGGGATTGCCATCGAGCCTGATTCACCTGGTCCCATGCTCAGACTACAAGACTATCAGTGCTCGAGCATGCTCGCAGAAGGCCGCGGAGAAGATCTTTGAGCAACTTGTCAAAACAGACTGGGATGGACTTGTAAACCTGGCTTTCTCAGGCTCTGATTCTAGGTTGTATACGGCGGCAGGCCTGGTTTTTGAATGCTTTGCGCATGAGGTGCTGAAGAAAGGAGGAAACAGATATAGATTGCGCAGTCTAGGGTCGGGTGAGGATGATGAAGGGGCAAGGGAAGAGATAGATTTGCATATGAAGAAGTCGCAGGCATACTTTGAGTTTTCAACAACAGGACTCAACGAGTGGAAGTTCATGAAGAACACATATTGCAAGCCCAAGGCATTGAACTTCCCTTGCATGGATGCGCTTTTATTGTCAGATCAGGAGGTCCTCTACATGTTCCAGATGACACGGGCAGAAGAACATCCTATCAAGCTTGGACCACTATGTAAGATATTGACAGCTCTACGAGCCAAGAACAAGTTTGAGAGGGTATGCTTTGTGTTTGTTCTACCCTCAGAGCTTGAGGGGAAAGCATGTTGGAGACGAGCTCAGGTTTTCACGAACGAGAAGACAGCAAGTGAGATGGAGAAGCAGCAAGTGGAAAACGTTACTCAGCACGCGATGTTCTTGTCCAAGGGGGACGTGGCATGGCTAAAGGGAGCGGAGATCAGGATCCAGATCGTAGATAAGGCAAGGTCTCAGAGGGAAGAGCAACTGGAGGGAGGCGATGAGGCGACAACATAAAGGATGAGGGACTGCGATCTTTGACGTTGATGTGCGCTGAAAGAGTGGAGGGCTTGTAGTAGCTCTAGCGGCTACAGATGATTGACGGCTCATGAGGTCATGGGTTAGATCCATGGCAGCAGTCACCATGACGAGCATTGTAGCTCAGGCAACAAATATATGTGAAGCTTCCTGTTGGATCAGAGATTGCATCGTTCGACGGAGAATGTAATGATCTAGATCATTCGATACACCTCGAGACAAATGCCGACCAAGAGAATGGATGATGCCCAGTACATGAACACTCTCAACAAAACCGTCCGTCCATACTGAACAGCGACGCAGAGCGAAAGTTGGCGCGCTGCCGCGAAAACACCACCAGGATATGACCATTATCACTTGCATCATCATCATCATCTCCAACTTCATCTTCATCATCTTCTTTTTCTTCTTCATTACCTCCATCATCTCCTTCATCATCGTCAACATCATCATCTCTTCCTTCACCATCATCATCCCTTCCATGATCTCCTTCATCAATATCAAGATATCCTTCGTCGTTAAATCCATTCATGTATATAATCATCACAGTCATCATCATTTTGCTCATTATTACCAACATTGTCATTTCCATCTTCTTCTTGTTTTCCTTCTCCTTCATCATCATCTCAATCATCATCATCTCAATCATCATCTCAATCATCATCTCAATCATCATCTCAATCATCATCTCAATCATCATCATCTCAATCATCATC